AATTGGCAACATGTACAAAAGAGCTGTCAGGAAAATGCCCAGTCGATTGGCCTTTCTCAGGGAAAAGATAATTATTTAGATTCTCAGTTGTGTTAACGCATTTGAATAGGATTGTCCTGCTTGGATAAGGTTATGCGGAAAGGCGTCCCCAGAGGGCAATTGTTTGGTATCACTGGAATAGGGTCTAGTAAACCTTTTGTGCTTTCGCTGTCACAAAATTAAAATTACAAAAACAGCCGCTGAGACACCACGGAGACGCCAATAACCATAACCTCAATTAGTCGATTTACGGAGCAACCAAGGACCATTTTACTTCGACAACACAAACAGATGGCTAGCTTTGGATGTAAACTAAACACAACATTCAGATGGAAGTATCACATCGGCACCTGCATGTACAAAATTGTTAAATCAGTGCTCCCAACTATTAATCTAGCATGAGGTACACTAATTTTGGACCAGGAACGCTGTTGGTCATGCCAGAGCAAGTATAAAACAAGAATTTCCTGCTGTTGGGACTCAGGTTTCGACCAATTTGACGTCCAGTGTATAATTAGTAAACGATCTCAAAACTTTTAAGACTTTTACTTGGGTAAAAATAGAATAATGAATAGATGAATGTCACAGCGGAAATTTGGGTGGAGTGATGTGGATTGTAAATTCCAATTTTATTTCAGCTGTATTGTATTTTGAAATGGGTGGTCTATTAATGGATAGAAAATCACACTGTATACAAGAGAATGAAAAGTGTATTCAATTTGCAACTTTTTAAATTTACATACTGTTTTGTAAAATTTGGGTGGGTTTGGGCACTTTTAATTCTTTCTTTTATTACTCATGTTATTGATGTCTACATTTTAGCCGTTGTTTGCGTTTCTGCTTTTTATGTATTTCATATTTATTTGTGTAAATCAGGGCTCCCAGGGAGAACACTTCGTTGGTAACCGATGGGGTTACCCTGGTAAAACAACACGAAGTAAATTTTTTAATTTTGTTGATCTGCCTGTGCTGTAAGTATGAGGTAGATAACGTTTTTTCTTGTTCGGTATGAGGTAAACTGCAAGGTAAGCGGAGTTCATTATGTCGACCAGTTTAAATGGATGTATAGCACAAATGACGACTAAAATGTATTCAGTGTCACTCAAAAACGGGAAACGATTTCAAAAAGCCATAAATATGAATGCATAGTACAGATGTACATCAACATCATGAACATCGAACATATAGTCATACGGTACCCCTCCCCGCTTTCAATTTTTCATGGCTAGTCATCCCCCCACCTTCCCCCATCCCCACGTTTTCGGCAGAGATTGACGCCACTGTTAACAAGATCGGTAAGATGCTCCGTCGGCCATGGCTGGCAATGGGATCCCCATTAATACTTACAAATAACATTAGTTGTATACAGAGAGCGAGAAAAAGGTGCAATGTGATCATATTGATACGTGTATATTCACGAGGAGTTCATTAAATGTTACCAAGTTGTAAACATCGGTTTAATGTGGCGATTTCTCGTCAACCCTTTCCCTACAGCTGGCATCTTGGACTTTTGTGACATTTGTGCATTAATCAGTCAAAAACCTACAAACTAAAAGAGACTAACTCTTGCACAGCTGCCTTCGAGGTATAGGCCTTATTAAATGGATACTCGATCGAGGGAAAATTAATTAAAAAGTCCATGGTCGAAAACTTTAACATATCTTACGTGTCTGGAGAAAAATATATCAGATAGAAGAGGATTGTCCAACATCTATGTTTCACGTGAAATAGGTTGTGAATCATATTAACTAAAATTAGTCCAGGAAAAGGGAATGGAATTAGTAGTTCCCTTTGCAATGGCATAACATTAAACATATAAATAATGGGAGGTTCTTTGTGTATCCTTTCTCAGCTTTAATGTTTTTACCTGTGATATCTTTCCTTCTATTTGGGAAGACGGTGTTCTCACCATTTCAGTTGTTCACAAATGTATAATTAAAAAAAAACCATGAGCAATCAAATTTCGATTTTAAGCATCTGATGTGCCTCTCAGAACACTCGGTCGTCTTACTGGCCCCTGGTTTACCTTTCACATCAAACAAAGCCCCAGTAGGACCATGAATGCTATCAGATTGCACATCGAAGAAACAACTGCAATTTCTGCTGACGGTTCTCGAGATTATTTCTCAGTCTCGATTTTCAATATTATGACTACTCTGAATTGTTATAAACACGGTGGTAATAAAGTACATGTATGCCCGTCTCCTCCTACTGGCTGAAGGATATTGAAAGAAAAAAGTGAATGGTACGAGAATACCGTTGTCATCACTGCATCCTGATGCATCGCCGATGTGTTGAGTTTCTGGTGGTATCTGTTTAGCGTCTGTGTGTGAATTTTGTTCAACTGTGAGGTTTCTTCCTCTTTTCATGGGAGTTGTCTTCTTGAGACACGTGTTTTTTTTCCTGTTGCGTTCAGAATTTTGGTAGATTTCGACCGGAAGCGGACGATCTTCGATTTGGCTTCTCCGTTTTTGAAAATGAACCAAATGAAAGTTGGGTAACAAAATACTGATATTTCAGAGGCGTGCGTGTGCGCATACATTTTTCTCATACATGTATGAGAAGTCAACATTCAGTCAGTTCGATTATCTCTGAGGAATGATGTTTCTTTTTCATTTGTAACAAGCTGACCCATAACTTAAGGGTCACATTTACGGGCGTGATTCCCGGGAGGACGGGGATCATCCCGCACTTTTGGTAGTAAGAAACAAACAGAGAAAATTTACATTATTTTCAAACTTCTTTTGTTTATTTAAGAAGTCATTACAGTATTTTACAGTTGAGCCAGCGATGTGTGACTGAAAATTACTCGAAAATTTACTGAGGATTGAGTGGGGGCAAGATTTTACACTGGGGCGCTAAATTCTAATTCTACTACCATTTTCTTTGTTTTTCCAAAGTCCATTTTCTTTGTTTTCCGTACTTTGGATACAAATGGGAAATTTTTATGGGCGTTCCTACATGCCCCTTGAAGACATTGCTGTATTAAGTACACCAACAGTGTCTCTTGGAATACACCAGGTGTCTGTAATTTTTTGTTTGTGATCAGTCAAAACACAACGGCCGTATTCTTATTTTTCTACAAAACTTTATTCACGACAACAAAGAATATTGCACTCGTCTACCTGTTCTCCTTGTTTGGGCAACAAATGAATGAATATTAAGTGTGGAGTCAAAATGATCTATTCGGAAATTTTACTCGAAAAGATGCTCGTTGACATCGTTCATTATTTGCAAATTGATTAATCACTGTACGGTGTTCGGTTCTGATTCCATTAAATTAATGGGTTTATCTAAGACGGTTGGATTTCTGCTGTTGGAAATAGGGGCTAATACTATGGTGAAGGAATATCTGCTGTCCTGGACCAAGGTAATCCTTTTTCATGCGTATTTGTTAAAATATGTTTGAAACAGCTTTGCTTTTTAATCTTTTAATGTCTTTTGACCTTAGACCGCATTGTAAATTGAGACCTATTTTATCAACTATGAATTAAACTTAAAAATCTACGGAACTTTATGTACATTTAATAACAGTTTCTATCAGCATTTTGCACTATCGGTAACGTAAGGCATTCAGTTAGTCAGCTATTGCTGACATTGGGCGTGTCTGTTTCTAAATCTTTTCTTTTCTTTCTTTTTTTTGGCGGGGGGGTTGTTTGTTTGTTTGTTTGTTGGGGTTGTTTGTTGGGTTGTTTGTTTGTTTGTTGGGTTGTTGGGGGTGTTTGTTGGTTTGTTGGGGTGTTTGTTTGTTTGTTTGTTGGGGTGTTGGGTTGTTTGTTTGTTTGTTTGTTTCTATATCCTTCTAACAAAACATCTGACCCGAATTTTGTCCTTATTTTCCTGTTTTACTTGCAGCGGCAGCCGCAGCTGCAAAGCCAACCTTTCCTTTTGTAAGAATCCGTACCGCCTTCTGTTTCTGAAGGAATTCCTGTAAGCGAGATCGTTTTCCACCGTGTTTCTTCCCGATTGTTGCCCCTGCTGGTCCATTCTCAACCCCCCGCATTGCTTCTATAGATTGTTGCTGGCGCAGATGAATCTCTTGTAGTGTGGTGGGCATTTTGATTTCTTCCACGGGCTCCAGGTCAGTGAATGGAAGGGAAGAATACACCACAACCTGTCAGATCAAACCCAAGAATGATTACATAAATTCAAACACATGATTTGGTGGGGAAGGTCCATCAGTACCTAACTAAATATAGTGTATTCCTTGTTAGGTAAATCTGGCATTGCTTACTAAACACGCAATTTGACTCAATTGTTTGTTGAGCAAAGAATGTGATTGAGGTGGAACTTGAACAATACAACAGTGGTGGTATGTTTAATGTTTATCTTTTTCCTCGGGGTTTATATTTTCATCAACTGTCGATTACTTAGAATCACCTATTCACTGAATTTTCTTTCCTACCTGATTCTGGTTCTGTTTGATGTCGGGCAACGAGGGTGGCATTTTGTGTCTTGTCTTTGGTTTGTATGACTTGCCCAGAATAGAGCTGGTTCCATAGCTTGACTGGCCGCTATCATCTGCCTTTTCACCAAGTCGTTGCCCATCATCCACTCCAAGCGACGAATCGTCGAGTCCCTGGCCAGCTTTGGCAAGCTGGTTGCGAGCGACTATCATCATGATATTTTTGGCCAGCCTGTGAAATTTTACAACAGACATTGAATTTGGATGTGAGAAACTGAAAATAGGACCGTATAATTCCATCTGTTTTCAGATGGCTTNAGTATACAGTGTTTATTAATTTATACGTTGGGTAAGGGCAAAACCCGTTATATAAAATAAAGCCATCTGGTCTAAGATTTACCGAATATAATTTATGAACTATAAGACTTGTTACTTCTCCGAAAAGATGTCTTCAAATATCAAGGCTTACCTCAGGGTTTTATTATTATACTTTCAAATATAATTAATGCTAACACTTTTATTCATAACAGATGTGTAAGACACGCTTTTCTGGCAACAACAGCCTCATTTGTGAGGTTTTTGTATCTATACATCCAGGACATCTTGAGCTTCCAAAAAATAGGTTAGAATTTCAGCCTACGATGAGTAATAATTAAGTTTCAAATTTTGATCAAGGAATGGTCTTATTTATGTCAATCCTCGCCTCGCATGAGGCACTTAGGTCGGGCTTGTTGAGGGTACACTGGAAAGAATTTAATTTAAATTGCTGCTTTGCAAAGAAAATGCGTGCCTAGTTTGACTTTTAGACTTTTGGAGGGTTTAAATTAAACTCACTTCCATCTTGGCATAATGCCTCCATTCAACACCTTCAATGTCACAGCTGAGGCTACTCTATGTACATCACGGGGTAATCGACGAGGTAAGTCTTTAGGAATAATGTCCTCAGGTAGTTTCTGCCAGCCGCCACTTTGGCCAAACGTTCCTATCAAAGACAAAGCATTATCACACAAATGATCCAGCTGGTGTCATTATAAATCGCTACAACTTTGGCCATACGTTCTAATCAAGAAAAGGCAGTTATCGATGGATTGCCCTGTTAGGATACTAAGCTGTGAATTTTTACAAACCCAGAGCATTGTTTTTCACCGTAAAAAATGCTGGGCATATTTTTCCCCAGCGTTTGGCACACCTACTCTTTGGGCAAAAAGATTACCCAACCACGTTAATTTTCCGCTGATATTTGGTCAGACTTGTCTCATTTCACCAAACAGTTGTAAAAATGTTATTCGTTAATACTTCTGACAGTCTCCCTATTCAATAACGTGTAACTTGACCGTGTATTAACATTTGATAATTCCCGCTGCGTAAATCTTGCGCTGGCACCTGGATACAAGACAGTTTAATCGATTCTGATTGGTCATGAGTGTGTGTGCACACGGCTCGCCACGCGCGCGCCAATTGGACAATTTGGACAAGGAATTTTCCATAAAATGGACGGGGGTGTTCGGGAAAATGAAACTAACATTCTAGAACAAAATCATTGGAAATCCATCATTATTATATTGACTTCTTTTGACCCTCTGACTAAAAAGGTGATCATGAATGGGAATAAATGTGTGTTTGGCTGGTCTGCGGCTGGGGCATTAGTCGCGTCCATTCTCATGAGCCGGTCTTAAACGCATGTTTAAGATCAAAAATCGTACAGCGCCGAGCTACATGATCTTTAAGACCGGCCAAGCACATATTCATTCCCTTATTTGTACTACCGTTTTACTCAGTACATGTTATGCTCTTTTTGCCCAACAGTTGAGCGATTCACCCGGTATCCAGCGTTGTACAGTATAATCAGGGTTTTAAACAATTTCTTAGCAAAACAATTACAATTTAATAGTAATTTTTTGTGCTTATAAAATCTAGGTCTCTCTATATTTCTCCACTCACCTATGTACCGTCCACAGAGCGTCCACAACCTCACAGAACAATCGTCACTACTAGATACAATTAGGCTTTTGTCTTCACAATACTCGATGTACGTGACGCTTGCCACATGTGCTCGGAAGGAGTTCAACTTCTTAGGCCACTTGATTGTCTCTCTAGGATTGGTAGCCGATGGGGGTGGTTTCATTTCAGCCCTCTGTTTCTTCTCTACCCGCTCTTGAAGTTTGAGTATAGTCGGGTTTCCGCCACGAAATGGGAATTTGCTGTCACTACGCATATGTTGTAAGGCAGCTGACGGTACACGAGATTGGGACCCGTCGTTGCTACCAATGCAGTAGTCTGTAATTTCCCAAACCTGAAGAAATACCGGACGAGATATTAAGGCACGTACTCAAAAAGACATTCCTATTCAAAATATCAACTGATAGCGTGAACTGCGACCAGCAAAATCTTACATTACGACTTTAGAAAATGGTTGGATGTACTGCTATTTGACGACTTCATTCCTGCAAACTTATCCTCAGATAATTTAGATTTTGTGTTCACTCATTAAAAATAGCCATCAACAAGGAAGGTTTCTTATGTGTCTGCCTACCATGATGTAGCCGGATGTGTCGCCAGTTATCAAAAACTCATTTTTTGAATCTGTGGTCATAGCTAGAACTGATTCCCCACCACCTTTGTGTGCCGCGTTGAATTGACCAAGTAGGCCACCCTTGTGATGAACAGACCAGGAGCGAACCCAACCATCTGCTCCGCTAGCCATTAAAGTGGCCGTGTCCTTATCGTTGGGTCGAGATTGGAGGAACACCAACTGAGAATGTACAAGAAGCAGCAAGATTTACCTTCGTTATGTGCCTAAGACATTGGTAGTCAGAAGCAAGACAGACATGCATTTAAATATCTTTAGTGATATCTGCAATGAAAACGCTTACTTTGTCAACGGCTGATTCGTGTTTCTTGGTGTATTCCTTTGAGTCTTCAACGTCTACATAAAAAGACTTCCTACTTGAGTTAGTGGTCCGCCCGGTTTGTGCCCTTTGCTTGAAATTACTCATACTCTCTGTAAAGAAGGTCTGTGAGTCTTCCTTGACTCCGTCAGATCGTTTCTGGCTCATGTTTACAAAACTGGTCTTCTGTGTTCCAATAGCAGGAAGACTGGTCCGTCTTTGGCTTGGTTGGCCCTCCAAATCTTTGGTTAGATTGGATGTTTTTCCAGATTCAAAGAGCGCCTTTGTACTCTGGCGTTTCAAAAGAGTCTTGGAAAGGTTTGGTTTCTGTTTTCCTCCCGTGTCGTCTTTGTTGTCTTCCTCGGACGTTGTGCTCGAGTTAGACGCAGCACTGCGTATTAGTCGAACTGCGTCTGTAGATTTGGCTGAATCACCTGTGGTCTTGGAATCGTAACTGATAGTCCTACTTCCAGTACGTGGACTGACACCACAATTGGCGTTAAGTCTGCAGAGTGGTTGCGTCGTTTCTAAGGACCATATGATAATGTCGCCGTCGTAAGAGGAAGTAGCGATGATACTAGTGTCGTAAGCTGCAAGGGACAGGATATCCTCGTTATGTTTGACCATCCACTGTCGTGAGTCTTCGTCATCATCAGAATCACTGTGGAAGATGTTACCATTTATCAGGAGATATGACATAAGCTGTCTCTAAAGCTCTCTGTCTCTTTTTATTCCCTTCACGGTAAACAAAATGTGTCCTGGTTTACTTGATATCCTGAATAGAATTCTATTCAAATCTAAGATCTTTTTAGAATTATTTGTAATTTGTTTCTGTTATTTGCCTACAACTACTTACATGTAGGAAGTAACTCGTCTGTTCCATCCGGCAGTAATGATACGCTGTTTAGGGCAAATTATCCCAGTAACCTGTTGAGAAGTATAGATATTAATATCTTCAAGTTACTCCTCTTCTCTTCTCTCTATTCTCGGTATTCCAAAGTGGTTTCAAAGACTTTTTTGGGGCTATTTAGTTATCAGCAATTTCCCGAGGAACTTCTCTTCAACTCATTGAAACGCTCAGCAAACATGGTAATTACTTTTTTAAAAAATTGAAAATGGTATATGTACCTTAAATTGTTGGCCTCTCATAACAATTGATCCCAAACATTATATGACAAGACTGGCAAAGTATTGTGTTTTGCTTGTCTAGATTTAAGCTTTTTTACTCAGTACTTATTTCTACAGTGCTTCTCTTTTCTATATTCTTTACCTCCATGTTGTCAAACGTCTCTAACTCTCTCAAGCAAGCGCCATTATTAAAATTCCAAATCTTTACTGATCCATCACGGCCTCCCGTTACTAATCTCCGGTACGAGGGATCAAAGGTCATCGCTGTTATCTCAGCACACTTTTCGACACCCTTCTCCATGTATTTATGAGCCTGATATAAGGTAAAAGCGCGAAATAAGGGATAAGAAATAATTTTAAACGGTGAAATTCCCATTTCTGTATTTCAAAATCCCTCTTCTTCACAAGAGAATACACAATGCTGTCGATAAAGAAACACCGATGGACTTTTTTTTACGATATCGTTTCAATTATATAAAAAATTCCGATGCGCTCGTCTTTTTAACACCTGGGGAGTGTACCAAAAAAACAGATTTTTTTTACATTGACCAATAAACGTGCACTGTATGCAAAAGTCCCTTACTTTTGAGAACATGATCGTCTTGGTCCCGGTCGCTAAATCCCAGACACTAACAACTGAGTCATGGCATGCACTGACCACCTGATTAAACAGGTGATTGTAGATCGCTGCTGTAATTGGACGGTTGTGTGATGTAACGTCGTCGTCTTCTGTGTCTGTTTCCCATTTGTGTTCCAAGAGAGCGAGCTAATGAGAGTATGAAAGTGATGGGATTAGGAAATTATTTTTAAACACAACTGTTTCAAATAATTTAGTTCACAATTTTTGCACCGTAGAAATCAATAAATCTTTCCAACACCAAAAATACACGTATGTTCATGCCCCTCACTTATATTGTGCGCAGCGTACTGAATCCCACTACATCCAGAAGCCAGTAAAGTGGCTCTCGACTCGGATAGATAGACCCACAAAAGTAATAGATCAACATCAGGCTCAGATATAGTTGTTTGCCCCTCGTTTCCATAACGATTAGTATTTAAATACTCAAAGTCCCTTTTGCTAACTTGCACATGATAAAAATCCATTTTCTGCCAAATGTTTGCCCGTCTTTCTTACGTACCTCCAAGGTAAGAGAGTCAGACGTTGGAAGTGAAGTCAGCATTTCAGAGGGGATTTTTTTTTTCAGTTTTGCCGGGTTTTCCCTGAAATTTCTCTACTTGTGAAAAGCAGGAAATATCATGAACGCTCTTATGAGAACAATAATTTTTTTCATAATTATCTTTTGTCGTAAAATGGACATTTCCACTTCTTTGATTATTTTCCGGAGATATTTATAACTAGAATATTTATAACTATAAATATCATCATTTGATAGATTCTTGGCAATTTATTCACACACGAGGTCTTCAAGGGAAATAGCAGTACAAATCTCTCACATGGGTTACCAACAAATGCATCGTCTACTCGAGTAATTTTTCAGACCACTACGTGACTATTGCGCATGCGCGAATACACAACTAAATGCTCGCACAGTCTAAGGGGACCGAACACACGTGAATACTTCTCAGCACTCAAAATCCGCTTATACGTGCGTCACTGACAGATATTACGATACAAGATTTCTGATTGTGAAGTTCTCCACCATACCATTCTCCTGTGGACTAATTAGCAAAATTGTTTTTGATTTTTGTTTCATTCAGCATTAATTGCTAGCAGGTTTCTAATAAACCGCAAAACTTTTAACGACCAGACAATGTAAACCACGGGATTAAACTAAAGAGAACAGAAACTTCTGAAACAATGAAGTATTCACTGACAATTCGCTACTACATTCCTCTAAAATTTTTAGGGGGTGTTCGAAATAACAAATTTGACATATACCTGATTGGTACCCAAAATGAGTGATCCGGTCTTTGCATGGAAGCAAACGGTACTAATGGAGTGAGGCCCCATATTGATACTTCGCGGATTGATATTTTGCATACAAGTCTGATCCCTCATGTCCCACACTTTGACGCCCTGAAACAGATAACACAGAATATGCAAAATATGTTAAATGAGCTATTAAAGTTACTCTTAGAGCAATAAATGGTCAGTCTAGATATCTAACCTGCGTACAGGATTTGTATCAAATGTTACAATACATAGTCCTAAAAAGGTTTTAACGTAGGCCTACGTCACAAATGTTTTCCTTTTTTCTCCAATATTTGAGGGTTAATAAATTAACCTTGTCCTTTCCAACGCTGATGATTTGTCCATGCGTACTGTTTACAACAATGTGTATCACAGCAGACGTATGACCTTTCATGACAGAAGTTGCTTTCGTTGTCACATACGGATTCCATGTTCGTACAGACCTGTCCATTCCACCTGTAACTGGAGAACACAAAAGACAAGGCTAATTTTGTCACACACAAAAAATGTTTAAAGGTAGTTATAATTAGTCATTGCTTACTACTGAATACTATGAACCCGCATTCCAAAAAAAGCAAGCAAATTTGTGGAATGTGGGATGTATTCGAATTTTAATGGGATGAAGATATCATTTGGATAAAAAGTTTAACAAGACGTTGTACTGTGTGTTGCATTAAATTATCATTTGGGTCAAATTCTCGTATTTGTTAATAAAAACATTTTGTTAGTATTTCTGTTTTGTTTGTTATTTTTTCCCTCTTATTATATTGGGTGAAATAACAAGCTACGTTTCACTGGCCGTCACTTACATGACTGATAGAAAACCTCATTTCATGCGAATTCTTCAAAAGAATATGACACTTACCAATAACATTTGTTTCTTTGCAGTAGTCGAAACAAAGTATGCCTTTTCTGATCTTGAAAAATGACCCCCTAAAATGAGGAATGTACCACAAATATAAAAGTTCAAAATCCGTATTACTTCTAGCAGAAATTCAGCTCGGAGCACGACAATCATTGTCTATTTATTTATGACAACTTATTTGAATACTTTGGATCAGGAGTTATCCTTCGTAAAGCCCTAAAATGTTATTCATGGTACAAAACATTTAAACTTTAAAATAGTTACATGGCTGAGGCAACCACATGTTTGAAATTTGTCACGAAAATAGCAAATTGCAGCCACGTGAGTTATTTATGCGATTGACGACTAGTCCTTGCGTAACATTTTGTGATTTAAAGTTCCTAAACAAAACTGGACAGGAAACTCAGGAACAGAAGACATTTTTAAAAGTGCATAAATTTGTTGTTCTGACGCCACATTCTTGACAGCTTTGCATTTTAAGCCTTGTGTCAGAATCGGCTTAAACATAGGGAACAAAATAGTTTCGTATTTCGATACGGAACAAGTGGCTGGTTTTACCCACACGTTTAGCACATGCACCTTTCAATGCTAGTGTAATTGCCCCTGTGCTTACAAGATTCTACTTACGATTTCTTTCTGCCCAAGTCACCAATGTAAATGGATGATTCGTTGGTTGTAGCGCAGGAGATGAATGAATTCAAATTGCTACAGTATTTTACTTTCCGTACCCAGTCCTCATGAAGAGGCTGTCAAAGCAAAGATGATAACTCTTCAAATTTATGATTGATTGAAATGCTGTTTAGTTGGTGCCTGAGGTTAATGGACAACAAATCTGTTAAAAAAGCCTGATGTTAAATCCAAATTTATGTGCCCGTTATTACCGTATTTCTTATATTCTTAAAAAGGAAAACAAATCTTTGAAAGATTAATCAGTGGCAAAATGGAAGTCGCATCACCTTTACCGCCTTAATCCATACATGCATCTCTCTCACCTTGACAATTGCTTGATACCGCTAAAATATTTATTTCACAAACTATTCACCTAAAATACAATGCAAATCTACTATTGTAACCTCTGCAAAGGGTTTGCGTGCATCTTTAATGCCGATTCTTTTGTTCCACATGGATACGCACAGATGATCAAATCTTGCGTATCCCTGTGAAACAAAGAATGTGACCTTCAAGATAACTGCAGCTGCCGAAGCCTCTATTAGGAGGTAAAGAATACTGGAGAACATATGCTAGAATGAGAAATGAATAAAACACTCTTCAAAATGAACAATTTTTCTAACAATTTATGTCACTGATATGCGGTGTTACACCCCGTAAATATACGGATGATTACATGTGGTTTGTTCTTATATCATTGATACTGCATGCTGATACATACCGAGAATTTCATAGCAACAACTCCCTTGACGCTCCCTTTGAGCAGTTCCGGAAATGGAACTCTTCGTGAGCCAACTATTGAGCAAAAACAATTTTTATGTCAAGTTTAGTATAGAATAGAATTTTGTGACAAATTCAGTTTGAATCACTGACCTTCATAATTTTCATTTACAGTACGCTGATTATTTGGACATTAACCGGTCAAAACAAAATGTGTGCAAATTTTTATTGATGTACTGCTAATATCATAGGAGGTCCTCCTGCAGAAAGGCACCTGCAAACCTCATTCAGTACACCAGGGAGACAGTCGTTCCCCACGACTGTTCCTATTATACCTAGATGCTTCGTGAGAAACTGTGCACTCGAAACAGCAGAGATGATGGACTTCTTGATGTGGGCTACTCAGTATAATTTCTCCGATACAGTAGAACAGACGTACAAGACAGACTGGTTCAATGGTTATTGTTAACCGTCAACCTTACTATTAAGAATGATCACACTAAAATAAAATGTCAGGTAGACCCTGACGAAGATGAATGGCGCACGATGAGAAACCTTGGCTCGTTATCAGGAGATGGTTAAGACATATCTCACGGCAAGAAGCTAGCTATGTGTCATGTTACATTCCACCTTACGAAAACACTGGCAATGTGACATTGTCCCGAATGAGGCACTCTACATCTTATCGTCGCTGCCATTGTGGTCCGTTCAGCATAATGGGCCCTCGGGTCACGCTGACGACTCTTTGGTCAATCATGTGCTGCGGTTACTGGGAGGTATACCAGCTCAAAAACCATTGGCAAGTATTTCGGAACAGATAGAAGGCACGAAAACCTGGCGAGGACACCTTCGTACCATGAGAGTAAACGTTCTCGGCAACGAACTAAAAACGGGATGCAAACGCCAGTACAACTCCGTCCGTCTGGAGCCTCCAGGGCTTCTGACTCGACAGAGAAGGAGCGGAAGGAGTAACATTGTCGAAACAGCAGAAGCAAAACTGATATAATTTTGAATGACAGCAACGCGATAATTGCATCACACACGTGCCGCAAGTGTACCAAACAGTTATCTAACCTGACTTTGCGTTCTGTGATCCAAAGAGAGCAGACCCCATTGCTTCTGTGAAGACGATACAGCAAACATTTCCCCCTGCGTCACCGAACACTAACACTGCCTTGTTCATGTTACGAGGATCAAACCTGTACGCAAAAACGGACAAACAGTACACAGTGCTAAAGACCTTGGTTTAACTTGATATTGTACGCAATGTTAGCGTTTGCAAAGGTTTATACCTCAAGGAGATGGCACGTTACTGAGAATGTACATTAATATTCAAAAGTGCGTATTAACTAACCACCTGCCTCATGGGAGTCAACATTGCTCTTTCGCTAATATCAACTATAAAATTCGTATCAGAGTAACGGGGGTAATTTCAGACAAGAAACGACGAGTATTCGCTCTATAGTGGCCTACCAGTAGTCCATCGTTAGAGCGCAGTTATCAAGTCCAGAGACCTGAAAACATCGGTCAAATTTGGTTGCATTCACATCGTAAAAGCCTGCAAGAAAAGAAATAATAATTTTATGCCAAACTATAAACCATGAAAAGCATGCGGATTGACAGCCAGTCCAACAAAATATGTGCATGAAGTGTTTACGGATATGTTTTCCTTGTTGCTGGTTAATATTCTTTGTTATTGTTAATGATTCAAAAGATTACATTTTATAAACATGTTAAAATGCTAAAATTGTAATAGAATACTGATGAACAGTATCTTTATATATTAAACAAATTGATATTAAGAATTGCATACATGCGTAATGCCTTTTGAAATGTAGCTCCTGAAAATGTTTATAATGAGATGGCCCATTGCTAAAAGTGTACACTAATTTTCAAAAGCGTGTATTAACCCACCACCTGCCTTTCTTTGGGCAGAGTCGTAATATTGTTTAAAGTTGGTTTATAGCAGAAATTGGCTCTTTTCAAACGAAGGTCTCAGGAGGATAATACTGGTAAAACACTCACTGATATCACGCTCTGTGGATGACACAGCTATCATGTTCACATTCGGCATACACACCATATCTGTTAACCACATGGGCTTCGTTTTTTCACGAGGTTGCTCTATCTATACATAACAATAAAGATATACAGGGTTATTATTTCAGTAATAATACTGGAAGTGGTGCATTCAACTTGTATCGCGTCCATATCAAAATAAAATAAGTTAAAATGTATAATCATATTCACATTACGTGGTGTTTAAAACTAACTGCGACAGGTAAACTCCACAAATTGGAATTCAAGGATTAGAGTAAATAACTATTTAAATGTACGCAGCACAAAACAAACTATATGTTGGCTCATTCTTACCGTGACTGACCGCTGTAAGTGCATATCCATGCTCCAGAAATTAATGACGCCCTCTTTACTGACTGATATGTACCGGCCGCCATGTTCTCCCTCATCCTGCAGGTTGCCATGGCGAAGGTTTAGGTTCTGATAGAAACCGACCTTAGCTAGCATATCACGATGATTACTGCATGAGCGAAGCATTAAAAAATCGGAAATAAATTATTTTGGACAGCCATAAATGAATTTGTCAGTTTTTAGTTTCTTGATGAAGGCTGCGATCTTAATCGGTGTTCTATATTCAGCTAAAAGGACAAATTCAGATCATTTCAGTTGCTAGACGCGACAAATTAGGCAAAGGTCCCAATATCTACTTGTCACATTATACAATGATTAAATACCTGTGGATTTCTCTCAGTGGCTTCGGGAAAGGTATCTGCGATAAAGAAACAATTAAGTTTTGAATAGTTAATTTATTTCTTGCATTTTTCAAAAGAAAATGACATGTAATTTCTATGCGGACTATTCAAGTTAAAACCCAAATCACAACCACACATTCATCCAAATCGCAAACATTGTTTTTGGCAAGGACACATTCGTTATTTTGTTAGTGGACTATTCAATGAAATGTGAACTTTATACACTACACAGTGGTGTATTGTACATACTTTTAGTAAGAAAAACAACTCAAAGCATGTGTTAGACATCCAAAAACCTTTATTTTACTTACTCTCTGTAGGTCAAGAAAGAGAAACAAGGGAAACGAAAAATAATTCGGAACGTGTTAAAATTGAATAAAGTACTGTATTTGTTTCGGAAGTACTTTTGTTTCCACATAATGCATGATGTACATGTATACACAAATTGAAATGTTATCTCAAGTATAGGTTTGTGTTCTGATATTACCACGTGACAGAAGTTACATCCGTTGGGTTCGATTCAAACTAATATTTATTTTCATATCAAGATGATAAGTACAAGTATAGGATATACGAATAAATAAATGGACAGAAAAGTCAAAAAGTTAAATAGTGGAATTAATATAGGTGGATATGGAGGCATCTTCTGGAAGCCTAGGCAAATGGCCAAATGCTTTTGACGGACTAACGTACCTGGACAAACAAAACGCGAAGAACGTTAACTTGTGACATACTCGCAGCATGTGAAAAGCTGTACTCGTTTTTTTCTTTTGTCCATGAACCAAGCTACATCTTAGCAGAAGGGTATTACTTTTTGTACATGTGACCAACCTCTTTAAACAGATTACTCATGTGATCCCGTTCCTGGTATTCCATCAACATGTAGGACAAGTATTCGTCCTGGGTGGGAACAAAACAAAATGGTTGTTCATCACGATGTAGTACCAGATACATTTGAGAACGAAATTTGAAAGGATTCCCACTTTCCGGTTGCACAGAATCACTCTTGAGCACTTTTCACTTAATTTTAAAATCAAATCACAACTTTTTTCAGGTTGACGTTCTTGATACGAATCACGTTAAAACGCAACTGTTTCTTCACTTCTATGCATTAATATCGTGATATCTGGAGTGTTAGGAGAAACACTTATAAAATTGCAATATTTCCAGTTATTCTGTTTACAGTTATGTGCTTCAAAGATGAATGACAGAGTGACAATTTTGGAAAGCAATCAGAGCTTATTAAATAGACTTGAGTGTCACATGTATCACCATTTACAAGCTGTGGATGGACATTTGTAAATGATTCAACAAGAAATTTGAGCCGCTAGTTATCAGGGATCAACGTGCATGCAGATCGAAGGGGTAGGTAAAAAGAGACGACCTTACCCAGTCTACTGTACCATCACAGTTTGCATCCACCTTCATGAATACAATGGCCAGCTCTTTATCATCAACCTACCAGAGTTCAAAAGTACGTTTAAATCCAGTATTATTGTCAGGTATTAAACTGGAGGCGTTATCTGCATATCTTTAGTACTACGGGAGTCCGTCGATGAGCCAGGATCGGGCAAGAGACTCAATCAACAGGTAAAAGACTTGGTGCAAAAGGAAACCGTGAGCTAAGGATGTGTTGAAGGTGGCCGTGTAAGGTGCCCAAGAAGGCGTCGGCTAAAGACAAATCCGCACACCACCTCCACTGCCACTACAGGACTACTTTTACTACTGATCTGAGTGAATGACTATCTCAGAACAATAGTTCATGGTTATTTTATTAATCCCAAAGGAAATTACATCTCCGTGTACAAGCCTCATTAAAAAGATACAAAAATGTGGAAATAATTTCAAAAATTAATCAAAAGGAAGTGTGATTTTACAAATTAATTTTCAGGGAGAAGTGAAACAGGAAAAGTGTTATTGTCTGAACGTTTTGCGAAACTAAGTGATTAGAATAAGATTAACATCTTGTATTGCAGATGTACAGATTCAGTATTAGTGGTATTAGCAACAAGAAAGTTCGGAATGGTCAGGTCTCGAAATATGGATAGACACGAACGCACCGGGATCTTTGCGTACAATAAAGTCATTGCACTGTAATGAATAGAATTTGTTATTCAAAATAATCACTTACTTTCCCCTCAGTGGAGATCGTAGCGATACAAAGGGACAGCGAAAAGATTTAGGGACGGCTTATGCATTCTTGCCCCGCGCGAATAAAGGGAGGAGGAGGCTTTCCAGTTAATCTGTTGGGATTGCAGACACGTCCATTGTGCTAGTTCGGAAGAGCATTATGGGTCCCATTTTCTGTGGGAACATTTTGGTACACTGAGAGTGACATTTTATGACTTTGATTATATTGCACACAAAGTGCATACAGTTCTTCTCTGCCTCCAGTATTTGATTGAACAAGGCAACCAGGGGGCTTCCAACAGCTTTGGTGCAAGTATCAGTCTAAGGCTGCATCCGAATCTCTTGTCTACAGCTAGGTCTAGGTCTTCGCTCCATTGGAAATGCGTGGAGACGCGCAGACAATAGACCTAGCCGTAGCTCTGGAAGCCCGTTTCGGACACGGTCTAAGAATCAAGATAACAGATTACTCACGATGTCACTTTTATTCTCGTTTGTAGAGTTCTTTATGTTGTTGGGAGAGTCAGGGCGGATATCAACCCAAAATTGGTTTGAGGGCCAATAATTTCAGAATGTTTTTGCGGTAACCTTTTCTTATGTTGAGGCTTTTTACATGTTTGGGAAGAAAGAGAAATAAAAAGTAAAACGTCGCCTTCTTCTCATTTAGACAAAAATCTAAATATTGTGGCTCCTGTTTTGTAGAGCATGGCTTCGTTGGCCCCATTAGCCCGTTAATCCAACCTTGTAGGAAAGAGGCATTTAAGAGAAAACACTTTCAAGAATTAACATCGAAAGACGAAGACTCACACACAATGAAATTCAACTAAAAAAATTTCAAGACAGAGGTGCGATTCAAAACACATGTACTTAAGACTATTCAGAATGAGACATTAGTAGTCAGGGTGATAATGTTTGCACGTTGTGCTGTTAGCCTTGACTTGTATGCGAAAATGTCAATGTCTATTTACTTACTTCTTCCATCTTTTGTCCACAAAGATGAAAAGATACAAAAATAATATCGGTGAAAAAATTAAATTTACGGAAACAAAATTAAATGTCGTACTTAACTGATTAACCTAAAAAGAAAAGTTCAATTCATAAACCACTGAAACTTCTGGTTGGCCACATTGGCCTAAAATTTACAAATCGAAAAAGTTAGAAAGCTTTACTTTTCGATTTCAGCAGAATCTCTCTCAAAAGCCTGCCTTTGAAGAATACCACGCTTCGGTAGAAACGACAGACTATCTAGCTTAATTAGTTTTAAGAAGAAAAGTGTGATAATATTTGAAAGGACACAGGGAGAAGGTAATGTTCTTGAGAGAAAGAAAACTAAATCCTCCCTCGCATGGCACTGTATAATTAGTTGAAAACCCGTATTTTATGCTCCCGGTTATTATGATTCCCCCACAAAACAATCTAACCAATATCTATACCGATTGAAAGTGTCTGAGTGTCCACCAATTTAAAATAGAACAAAATCCAAAGGTGTATTTGCATTAGCTCACCATTCCTTCACCCATAATCTTCCTCATTGCTTGACGAAACTCGTCGATATCCAAGCCTCCACCCCCATCTTCATCTGCCTCCTACAGAGGAGCCGAGTCGGATAACGGAGTTCCCAAAAAATAAAAGGGAGAAGGAGATGCAAAAGTTGTTTTAGTGCAGTATTGTAACCAAGTGATTTTTTTCCAAGCAAAGTCGAGTCTCAAGTCAAAAATTTGCAACTGACGTCCGACTCAAGTCTGGTCAGCGACTCGAGTCATCAACACTATTTTAGTGGACTGGAGTGGCAATGGTTACTCTTGATAACATGTTCACTCCACACACAACCAAAATGAAGCAAGATATGAGACGGAGAGGACCTCTCCCCCTGCTTTGTGTTGGTCATTGTTTCCACTTGAATCTGGGGAATTCTTTTCAGACACTTCGGGGGGGGGGTGTGGTAAGTAACGATAGTCTATAGTGTGTATAGTGATTGGACATGTTCGGGGGTACCCCCTTGGTCTCATTCCTTGCTGGATATACACCCAACACGCTTCGAACTGATATAGTGAAGTTTATCCTGCGTTTGCCAACTCGTCATAGCATACTTAATTTTCGGAAGGAAATATCTCTAATGTTTTGAATTTTTTCACTCGTGAAAGAGTTAACAAATTAAGATAAAAAAACACCTTCAAATTCAAATTTCCCCCTTCAAATTAATTTGATCACATACTGATTCCAGAATGAAATGAAGGTCTTACATATAATTCTTTAAAAAAAAATTCGGTAAATCTCTGACTAAAGTGGATGTGATCAAAATTGTAAAAAAAAGAGAATACGTCCAACTTTCCATTATTTTTGTCACATGAAGATCCCTTACTTCACAAAGCATGTAGGATTACTGGAATGTTTTCAAACATTCCACCCATTAATTCCTTCCGATTAATTTCAATAATCGTGTGTCCTTACTCTAGACTAAACCTGATAAGAGGATGACGGTAGGGCAGCTGTAGAAATAAGGAGCCTTTGTAGTTGTGTTGATACTTACCAACGGAGCCTAACAATAAGGAGATTTACTACCGAAGCCAAACAAGGAATTTTGCAGATTAAGATGTTGGGACGTGAAAGTTAGGTGGCCGTTAAAAATACCTGAAGATCCAACATTACCCCTGAACGGAGAGATTGTGGGATTCGCATGTTTACAACGAAGACAAGGAAGTTCATTTTTAAAAAAATGATCTTGAGAATGTATTACTCTACTGTTAAAATTTGTAATTATTCCAACGGTAAAAGACAAAGAAATCGTGATGTAACAATCGTGATGAAAAAAAGAGTAGATGAAGCAGTTCGTGAAAAGCTACGAATGGATCTTATGAAATCCCAGATCCTTGGTTCACAATAAACACTTCCTCTTGAAAACGTCACGCTCTTCATATCTCATTTCAACTGATCGTCATGATCTGCTTATCCTATGTGTACAGACAAACTAGTCGTCAGTGGTGCACCCAAGGTAGGGGGGTCGGAGACTTGGCATCTTTGTCTTTACATACATATGTATAACGTATTTTTCATGTTGGAGAGATTACCTCGAATATTTCCTGCAATTTCATGAGGTGATCGTTGTTCATCTCGTCTTCTAATCTAGCGCCCATGCTGCCTGCTTGAGACTGCTGATCACTTTGTTGTTTGCCAGCCATTGAGCCTTTGGAAACCTGAAACATTTTATAAATGTTCGTCAGTGCTTGTACAGGCTTTGTTTTTTTCAAGACCATGAACATCTTCACTCTCACATCGGTGTAAGGGTAACACCCGTTATAAAAAAAAAGAATTTGAATCTTCCAACGGAAAGTACATCATTGGAGATCAACTTGTTTCTCCATCCTCTTCCACCCGTCGTTTTCACCACATAGTAGGCAAACCTACCTGGGGATACGGGGAAAATGCTGCCGACGACCCGGTTAAAACGCTTCGTTGTGAGGTTGCAGATTTTTGACCGGAGGAGCGATGCCTCCGGTTGGGTGTGAGTAAATCGGGGGTACGGGTCAGTGGACCTTTCCCTGGTGACCCAGGGGCAGCAAGAGTATCTCTCATCATAATGCTACTGTTGGGTTTCTTAACTCGGTGAATAAAGGTATCCGATGGTGCATTCGTTGCCAAGAAGTGTTACCGGTAGTGGTTTCATAAGATGACTTCAAGTTCCTGACTAGAAAAATACTGAAGCCATTTCTCACTTGAACCCATTTACCGAAGGGATTCAGCAAAGTTCCCCATAAAATTCTACTAAATTTCCAAACTGTCGAGAAAGAATTGTAGGTGTATCGTGTCTAACTTGAGAATATGATTCACAGAGTGTATACATGATCCTCGCGTCTTATTCACTGTGGTAACCAACGCTGTTTCGTTATTCAGATATCACCACTCGATATCTTATTTGCATAATCTCTTAACAAGTTAATATTGATTATCTGATTAACGGATCGCCTTCATTGAGTCGTGTCTGTCTCTTCATTGTGTGTCCGTTCCCGTTATATGTTTACGCCATGTACAAGGCTATAGCATCGGAAAATAACTAACTCGAGACGGTATTAACCCCGTTCTGGCTTTAGTTTAGAAAATCAGCTGTAGAATTAGAAAATATTTGGATGGATGTGTTGTTGGCTTTATCTGTTGAAAAGTTATAATAATGTCTTTCGTCTATTCTATTGCATTATACCTGGTCGGTCCTTGGCGGCGAACATTTTTGCACCAGCAGCGCGATAATTTGTTAAAAGAGAGAGTGAAAAAATTTATTAGAAACATGCTATCGTCTCGTCCATCACTCAGTTGCCGTCCTTGATACGATCATCTTTCCTTTACAAGCTGTCTCCTTGTCTCACTGTCTCCTCAGTTTTTCCTACCTTTTTTGGCTTTGTTTTCAACTTTTGTTTCGATCCCAGAACATTCACCGTGAGAGGCTTATTGAGGATATTCTGGGGAAGGGAAAACCCAACGGGTATGTCCCCCTCAGCCCCCTCCCCCGTTACGCCATTGAGTTTTATGACGGACACCTTTTTCAAAAACCTTGTTAAATAGGTGTGTGTCCATAATAAACTGATTCTTCGCAACTGCAAAATAACGAAAGAAACATTTCTTGCCCCCCCCCCACACACACACACCAAAACAGTGTTTAGGCCTGGGTAAAATATAGGCAGACAAAGATGCAAACGAGATGTACCTTCCTGTCTCCAGCATGGCTTTCTTCTGACCTAGAGCTGACTAAAGAATCTCGTCTTGGCTCAAAGATAGTCTTGCGTCGAATATTTGTCTTACTCATTCTTGAAAGGAAAATATAAAAAAGGACGTTTTGTCTAGAAATTATTGTCTAGAATACGACTTCTAACTTCGCTGATTTGTAAGTACAACAGCCTAAATCTGCACAGCAAAAATGCCCGTATTCTCCGTCAATGCACTGAAATGCTTGTCTACTAGAATCTAATAGTGTGTTACTGTAGTTTTTGTGGCGCCACAAAAAGCACATTGGAAAAATCTAAATTCTTCAGTTGCGGACATATCCCTATATGTAATCACAGCAAAGTTCCTTTACTATTCAGATATCAAGACAAATTTCTGAGTTATTTTTCGTCATAAATTGTTTTATATGAATTCTACTGTGTAAAATTTATGAACGACTTACTTTAGGCCTGTTCAAGTAACCTTTCTCCGTACATCTTTGTGTTGATTTCAGTGCTCTTTCGAATTATTTTGAAACGATCCTGGCCTGTCTATATTTATAGTTATTGCAAAAATCACATTATTTTCATACGTCTTTCACTCGCCTCAAACTAACTAATACTATAGCAATACATAACGCGCACGCCACTGTGTATCTTCGTCACAAAGGCACTGAGACGCGCCACGATTTAAAGGTTCTCATTGGACGATCGCTGAAGTTGCGCATGAAACTGTCCACCTCGAAGAGCGCCGCATCAGAAATACAATGAACCCCTCTCCAACAACCCCTTTCCTTCGCTCTTAATGTAGTATCGCGGGGTTGCGCTGCTGGGTGCTCACACTTTTGTGATGAGCAAAAACCTTAAAGCGAATTTTAAAGAATTTCCAGGATTTCCCAACAACTAAAATGTTTCATGAACATTGCCCCCTATATAGTGAATATGGCCCCCCCATCAAATTTCCAGGGCCGGGCAAGTCATCTCCCCACTTTCCCCACACCCACACCCACCCCCAATTTTCAACATACACAGCCAGGCTAACTCTCGGCAATTAACTTTTACGGAATTAAAGTAGAAGAGTGTCCTCTATTGACCCGATTCGTGAACATTCAAGCTAAAAATCATACTAATCACTTCCCCGTATTCACCCAGCGCCCAGGGCGCTGGGAAGGGCACATAACGTAATGTTTGTCGAGCACTCATTAGACAGAGATCATTTGAACAAAAACAAGGGTCGATGTGGGCGATGAGTGACAAGCGAACCCCCTCCCAAGTTCGTCTTCTGCAGTAGCCACAAGTGATGATGTTGGACGTCCATCCTTAACAGCAGCCACAACGGTTGAAGGTGGTCGTCCCTCCTCTGCAACTACCATCACTGGAATTGTTGTCTTTGATGTAAGCATATCAACTTTAGTATTATACGTAGTAAATTTACATGAACAGCAATTTTCAATTAACTTTGATCATTATTAGAAATTCATAAACCTTTCCGTTCGCTGTGTAAACAAATGATTAGACGTAAACACAGTGATCAAGCCCTCTCATTAGTTGTCAGCTTGCTGTCAATAAAGTGTGACAGAGAAGATTGTTATTGATTAACAATGGTTGCTGGACCTAACCTTCCCCAATCACTCAAACTTCAACACCTTCGAAAAACACTCTTAATTAACTCACAGTACCCAATCCCACAAACTTCATCAGTACCTCCTGCTGCAACAGTACCCGATCACACAAGCTTCAACAGGTCTTTACCTGTGTGGTGTTGTTTGGTTGGGTACAGCAGGCCCATTGCACAGTACACTGTACAAAGAGTATGGACAGGCAGTACCTATGCCCAAACTACCTTGCAACGCCACTACTTGTTTTTGACGCTCATGCCTTGCTCATGCTACTAACAGCAGTTTTAATTCTAGTGTAAAATCCTAGCTAAGAATGTATCGCTGACTGGCGCAGGGCTAATTTCAGTGCCTGTAATACTTTTTTAATTAGAAATTAAATTAAAACGTTCTCGTTTTCATAGGCTGTTAAATGAACCAAAAAATCTTATAATTTCAAAATTAACGATGCTTGTTCAATTAAAATTAAAACTACCGTTTTGTGCTTGTACATAGTACCAGTATTCTGATGGAGCAGGGTCATCCAAGGGTGCGTTCGATTAGCTTCCCTGAACACACCAGTGTTGCACTCAAGGGAAGCCTCGAAATGAGGCTGATCGAACGCTGCAGTGTGTTTTCCAAGGCATTCTGGGAAAAAGGTCAAGTCCCCGCCACGTTCCATCATGTACGTCCATGCTCGAACAGTCCATCCGTGACGTCATTACACTCGGTCACCTCAGCTCCAGAACCCGCTCGCCAGCTGGGGTAGTGGTGGCTGACACCAGGGCAGGCACGAGAATCACGTGATGGCTAAAAGAACGCTCTTGTGTAAGTTTGGTTTACACGTGTAAGCTAATCGAACGCACCCAATGGTTGTGTATGGCGGTATAGGACGCCCCCAACGATGGAGCCAAGTTAGTTTGTTTAAGAATTTTCTATTGTTACGCGTTGAGTTTGTTTGTTTGTTTGTTTGTTTGTTTGTTTGTTTGTTTGTTTGTTTGTTTGTTTAAAAAAAACCTGGGTTGCCAAAGGGGCCAAAATCGGCCAAAAGGGTCAAAATTAATTTTCATGTTTTATCCGACCTTTTTTTTTCTCATCAATTTGTAAATCTGTTCCGTTTAAAAGAACTTTTAGGTGTCCACCGTCATACCCGTGACCGTGACAATTTTTCTAAGGGACATGAATGATGTTTGATTGCTTTGCTTGGATTGTTGCGCCGTTGTTGAGGATTTGTCTTGTCAAGCTGCATGCTGGTGATTTTTAACCGTCAAGCCTGTTTTATTCTGGTTTGATTTTACGAGTTTTAACAGTGGCTGTTAGTATAAAATCCCTTTTTGAAACTTATTTTTATTTGGAACTTGGCAGTTAATCTGTCCCCTACTCGTATATATTCATGTAACCGTGGTGAGCCGGGTTCAAGATATGTCTACTCCTACCGGTAGATATACCTGTCATCAAAAGAAGATTTGACATTACGGCTCACAGGAGAAGTAGCACGTAACACTTTATTGGGTTTGTTTTATAGATATTATCTGTCACCAAAAGAAGTTTGGACATTATGGCTCACGGGAGAAGTAGCACTTATCACTTTACTGTATTTGTTTGATGTATTGCATGTGTCATATGCTTAGGAGTTTCTCTGCAGCTGTATTTTAGTTTGATCAAGTTAAAACTACCCAAAGAAAAAATACAAACCTGGACGAATGGGTAGGTCTCCTGAATGCACAAGAGGGCGAAACGTGGAGGAGAATGCACAATATACTTAAGTCAACTGTGTTTTGCACTTCTCCAAGAACATGAACAATTATGATTCCAGCAAGAATGTAGCCGATCCAGGTTTTCGGCTACGACCATCAACATAAACAATCAGGAAAACTGTCATACTCCTTACGATTGTTGTCAGCTCGGATATTAAATTGAATCAAGTCCCAAACCCCGGTGAGTCCGATCTTTGTGGGACATGTGGGGGTCATAGTTAATGGAGAGAAAGGGCGGTATTCTGCGAGAACAATAACAAATGGAAACCTACTAAATGTGAAAGATATCCATAGGTGGGTACAGGAATCTTCAAAACCTCACATCCGTGGTATTGCAGTGAGCGTAAGCAGCCCGGACCGTCTAAGTTGGGGTATGGGATCAAAACGAACGAGACATATGCCGCGATACTGTGCGACGCGTCGGCCGTGGATTATCGCGCAGCGTGAGCAGATGTCTCGGAGTTAGCTACTAAGACCTCGGGGTACTTTGTGGAACTGCTTAAACTGTGAACTTTCAACATTTTATGACTCGTTAATTATTACAGATTGCCAATGTGGTTTCCGGTCCAAAAGTTCGACAGAAACTCAACTCTTTACTACTTTGCATGACATGGGCAGATTAATCGACAACAAGCAGACATTGTAGGAGACCACCAGTGGATTCAAAGTTTCCTGTCTGGACCAACTTGAACTCAGAGCGTAGTTAGATGGTCAGGCTTCAGATCTCGTATACAAGTAACATCCGGAGTCTCCCTAGGATCAGTGATTGGCCCAAACAATCTACCAGAGAACCTTGTTTCAGGCGTTCGTCTCTAGCTCTTTGCTGATGACTATCTTTAGTACAGTACAGATAGGGTCCAACTACAGCAAGACCTTCACGAACTTGGCAATCAAACCGGGGAATGAATCCATCCAAATGTTACACAATCTCCATAGGAATCAGGGCACCGATCAAAACCATCAAAGAAGTGTAAACAGCTTCACTTCACTAATAATTTGTCATGGAGGAAACACATATCTGAAACCTGTAAGAAAGCTCAGGAGGAATATGTGGAACTGCACTCCAAAGGTCAAAGAAACAGCGTACCGCTTCGCACTGTCGACCATCATTGCTGGTAAACATCTGCTAGGGGCATGGCACTTGGTGTCTGACATTCATTGTCTCGAACACTCAAAGACAAGCTGCTAGATTTATTTTCAACAACTATAGTTAGAGCAACTGCTACCGTGACAAACATACTCAAGGAACTTGAAGGTCATCCCTTGAGACACGGCGTAAAATCAACAGATTATCCATAATGTTAGTTCAAGATAATAAATTCGCCGATGTTCAGATCCTCACTCCAAATGTTAATGTCACACAAGAAAACAATTGCAAATCCGTTCTCGCACCAAGGTTTTGACAATACCTTCTTCCCCAGAACAGTCAGGGATAGGAACAATATGCCACAATCTGTGGACAATGCAATATCTGTGTCAGCGGCCTTCACAGGGGCATTTTTTCATTGATAGGTCGGTTTAAACCAGTCCACCAACGCGAAGCGCAAACCTAATGCAGTTAGTCACGGTGGGATGTGTGCCCTCTGGACGCTTTGCCAACTTACTTTATACACAGATATACCTACATGTACATGTACATGTACATGTTTGACCAGAATAATAATGCTCTGGTCTCCGACGTGTCTGGTTATATTAGCGAGTTAAGTTGTGGTCGATGTCTGTAGCGCCCCCAAAGTTTGAGAAAGACACAAACCGACCAATAAGACGTCAGACCCCTCGACGTCGAACAGGAATTTGTAAAACTAACAATAGTAGAGGTGTCAGACTATAATTTTGTCACCGTGAACTAGTTGTTTCGACATCAGCAACTAAACCTATTGAAGTTTTCACAATTTCAAAAGTGCAAGTCTTGTCACGTATTTTTTCGACGTGGTATCCAGTGGAATGCTTTTATAAGAAGCTGTTTGTATAGTTGGAAGTTGAGGGGTCAGTGAGTGAGTACGCCCTGCTGTAACATTTCTACCGACCACGAATATGTAGGTACTTTGTAGGCCTAGCCCCACATAAAGGGCTGTAGTGGCTCTCTTTTGCAATCTGTCTCTTATCTGTCGCCACCACAGCCCTACTTCAAGGCATGTCTTAAATGCCTGAAATCCAAACTGCAGGATTGTCACAAACTTTAAATCCTAATATCTTCCGAAATGAGAATGACTCGACCATTTACTGACACTAGCGTATTCCTCAGTTTGGACTTTCATACGAGCACCCTAAAGCTTTCCAAAATCGTACATTTTCCGATGTATGGCGCCTTGAAAAACCCGGCCTGTAGTATTTCATTCTGACCACGGCGACGCCATTTTGAAAAACGAAGGCAGCGCTTCGTGCGTCGGATTTCAAAGCACCCGACAGGCATGACAGGCGCTCTGGTATATGTTGTACCATACAAAACTGGTTCCCCATCATACCTCGCATAACAGACGAACAAGAAACCAGTGAAATTAAATTTAAATAACATTGATATGCATGTCTGTACCATGCTCCACACACATGCTGTGGGAGTACTGTACACTAGCAAAGTGCTCACACAACTTATTACTAAGCAATACTGTGACAACATGAATTACGCATCTGCGGCACCTGTCGGGTGCCTTGACTTCTGCGCACTCCATTTGTTTGCACTGCACTTTCTGGTTCACAGTAATGTCACAATTCGGTACTCTATAAATTCCTCCATACTTGATGAAACTTGACAGTAGGTGGCAAAATTAGGGACCTGGCGACTGTACCGTTGCATCATGAACATTAGGCCTACTGTAAGTTAGGCTAGGCCCAGTTGTTAATGTACCGGTATATCTGTGTGTCGTGTGGAGCTTCAACGGGAACAGGTCAATTCGTACCTTCTTATACCTTGAACAACTCGTATCATCAACTCAACATAATTGCATCAACTTGTACCTGTACCTTTGCTGAGTTGTACCTTGGCTAACTCGTACCTCCGGTATAGACAACTCGTACCTTCAAGTACAAGAAAACTTGTACATACCTTGGTCCCAAGTACCTTGCATAGAGCTTATCAATGTTGCAGTCATTATGAACAATAATTTAGTTTCTCATTCACCTAATTTGCTGTTTTTGGCTACACTGCTGGAAGGCCAATATGCTTTGAAGTTGTTCTAGGCCTAGGCAGTGGGTGGTGCTTGTCAAGGTGGCCGTTGTTGCATGTACATGTAGTTCATGTCTTCCGCCGTTGCATTGAACGGCGCTTAATACAAAGTGTATAACGTAATGTCAGTTGTAATTTGTATTTCTGTCCTTTTGTTAATTTACATGTAATTAATTTTATTCTAATTAATTTAAATTTAATTTAATTTTACTTAACACTGTACTATGTTTTGGATAATAAACATATTCTTTGCTATGATACATTTGATGGAGTTATGTTATGTTTTCATTTATAGTGTACTTCCGAGTTTATAAAGTAATGTCAGCTGTAACTTGTATTTTTTATTAACTGATGTCCGAAAGTTGAACGGATGTAATGCTGCATTTACATTTGGGATAATGAACTCAGGCAATCACACCTTTAAGATATAAAAGAAATTAAGATTTCGAAATTAAAATTATAAACATCGGCAGACAGAAACTGTCATTGCTAACTATGGGTTTATGTGGTTAATTCCGGCTCACAGACTCCAGAAAATTCAATGTTGATCTCAATGTTTTGATCCAAACCTATTAAAAAAAAGAAGATTTAATTTAAATTTAAATCTTTACGATCTTTACTCCAAGATTGGACTCAAAACTAGAGTTTCCCACACCTATGGCGTTGCATTGAATGGTCGAGTTGTCCCGAGTTATGTTGGTAAAATGTCGCGTTGTTTGACATTCGTCACTTTAACCGATGGCGCGCACACACCCGTGGAAGGCTGATAATCATGCTGGTGCTCTTTATCTCTCCGGGAGATTTATAAAGGCATTTCCTTGATATGTTTGTCAATTCTGACCGTTAAACATGTAAACAAGGAAAAGTGAGAAAGTTAACCCTTGACCACGGGAATTTCTTCCCAAAAGCCGACTCCAAGAATTCCAGCCTCGCTTGGCCACAAAGGCCACCTACCAAACCACATATTCTCAGTTTATGACCCTGCATGCTCTGCACGCTTTGAATTACACAGTGAAAAGGCTGATTGTTCGGTGGCATGCGGCTCTACTCGCGCTTCCACATTCCCGTTGCCTCTTTTCAGAGTGGGGACTATTGTGAAGCTGGTGATTATGATGCAAAATCGTTCTTTTCATTTCTGGGCTATGCACAAAGACCAATTACCATATACACAAGAGCCAGGGTCTGCCTTCTTTCACCGTGTTCACTCGAGCGTGGGCCAAGAATAATAGCTGAAAAGGGGGCTGAGGATCTCGATTTTTATGGCGGCTCTATCCGCGCCGGCGCGATGGGGTTAAGTGAATTGTGAACCTGAGGATACAAGACGTCAAAACTCATTATACGAGTTGCCCAAGGTATGAGTTGACCAAGGTACTAGTCATCCAAGGTACATGTACGAGTCGTCCAAGGTACATTTACATGTACCGGTATGAGTCGCTTAAAGTACGAGTTGACTCGAAAGCGCTCCAGTAATGTTGCTTTAAACAACATGCATGACAGTCGTGACAGTATCATCATACTCATTACTAGTCACCAGGTCCCTAATTTCACCAAGTCAGATTGGTTTTCACAGTAAGTGGCAGGGACCTGGCGACTTTCCCGTCATGCACGTTACATCTGTGGTTACACAGTCTGTAGTAATGTGAAGTCCTCTTTTCAATCAAATTTTCTGGCAAGAACACCCATCATGGGGTAGTTCTGTACATGTATAGCTCTTGAAAACACTGTGACAGAGGTTTTGTGACCATGAGACCAAGTATTTTTTTAAAAATCAGACATTTTACTCACCAGTCTCTCATTTTCATCCAATCTATGATGGTTGCACAGTTCATGCCTTCGCATTTTTCACATTGCACATGCATCCGGCTGGCCAATGGCCAAACATGCTCTGCATTTCAGTTCAAACCATTTTTCAGTGGTGGGAGGATTGCATCGTGTTTTCATTGCGCAACCCACATGTACGCTGATACCATCAGGATGTGCGATATACGTACACTGCGCCAAGTATCTGCCAGATTACAAGATCTTAGAAATCCCACCACCTCCAGAATGGTTGAACTGAAATGCGGAGCAAGCTCTGCCATTGGCCAGCCCAATGCATGTGCCATGAGATAAACACTAACGGCACAAACTGTGCTATCATTGTCGGGAATGAGAGATTCCCAGGAACAAGGGATAGGTGAGTTAAATATCTGATTTTTCAAAAATAGGACATGTACATGTACTTCGTCTCATGGTCTGAAAAACACCATTACACCGTTTTCAAGAACTTTAGCATACCTATACATGTAGGTACAGTACATGTACATGTACCTCACTGGTGCTCTCACAGGAAAATTTGATTGAAAGCAGAGTCTGTGTTACTGGATCAACAACACAAAAACTGGATTCAAAACAGCGTGAGGATCCCATGTAAATCACCAAGTGACACAGAGTAGTGACTTAGAGTTCTATATGTACCGTATATATTGTGCCCATTTAGCAGTTGTAAGGTCTGTTTTAGGTGAAATCTGTAGATTTCGATTAGAGATACCTGTGCAAGAAATGTATTACTGGATTTATTAGTTCAGGAAACACACCAAAGATCCTACATATAGGACTCTATGACCGATATCAACCAAACAGTACCAGTTGTTAAAAAGGTGATGCACAGGTACATTACATGCAGAGTCCTTGTTATTTGCACAGGTTGAAACTTGACCCACATGTCTAGACACTTCGTGAAGTTTTATTTAATGTACAGTGTACCAAGTGACTGGTAATGTTAACCTCACTGAAGAGTGTAAAACGCAACCATGTATACTCTGTATATTTTCATGTGGGTCACTGCAGTTTGCTATAGGGTCATTCCATGAAGTTCGGGCACAGTGACGGCGTCCCTTGTTACATCAGTATAAACTTTTATTGCCATTTTCACATTACAACAGATTAAGTCATTATTATTCAGCAAAGATGAAGCACACCACTACAAGAACCTAGCAAGATTTAGAACAGTGTCAATGAAGAATCCACATGCAGGGAAAAAAGATGTTTATTTTCACTGATGTAACAAGGGACGCCGTCACAAACTGTGTCTGAACTTTGTGGAATGAGCCATATACATGTATACACTGTATGATGTACATGTACCAGCCATGACAGAAAATTTATTTTTGTTAGTACAGGGCCTTGACCGAGACACATCTGTAGAATGAGTCACATTCAGACAAAGATGAAAGCTCCTGAAGTAAATGGGGTTGAAGCGCAGTATGATGCAGCAGATTCAAATGATGAGGAATCTGATCATCTTCTGAAGAATTCATCGTCTCTCAGCAACACAGTGGTGGAAGAGATACCCTGTGACCGGTATGTAAGAGATCAGTAGTGCAGACTTCTCGACACGTAACCAGAGCCTGGCACAAAATTCTTTTGTTCGAGTGGCAGATTAACCAGATGTATGAACATGTACATGTGTAGACGTTAATTAAACTTAACTACGTATACACGTCCATGTACTTGTACACAGACAAGGAATAAAACTTGTACAGAATGGCCAGCGTGCTGAAGTTAGCATCTAAAAGTTAGGTATACAAATGTTACTGCAGATCCCTGTGTGTTATATACACAAATGATTTCTCTGTTGTAATGCCAGATGGGACGCATGAAAACATTTGCCCTCAATAGTTAAGCTAATTGCAGTATACATGTATATCAAGCAGTGTTCTCCATGAGGAGGTCTAGCAGGGCGGGCCACCCTGCCAAAAGTTTAGACCGCCCCGCTTAAGTTTTGCCGCCATGCCAAAATTCTCACTGCCCTGCTATTTTTTCTATTAGATTTTCCCTGTTCTCCATCATCTTCACAGTTTATGCAATGAAGTCTACCGCACTTTATGAAACGAACATGATGAGTTTACCGTCATTATTCAGCACAACAGAAAAGCACTTTAAACTGTTAGTGATCAAAGTAAGATTCAGTATACTGTATGAAAGCACAAAATTAGACTGATTCCAATCTCCCGGTCATAGCATTTTCATTTTGTAGCGTCAGGAATCAATACCTCAAATGCTTTTTTTTTCCTCGGAAAAAACAACCAATTTCCTACACGTAGTCTCGAATTTTTCCTAAAAACGATCACTTGGAAAAAAACTTGTTTTCTTTTGCTTCTAAAACTACTTCTTATGTGTTCTACATTATCAAACAAACTCAGGTGAAATGTAAGCTTCTTGTGCAAACGTTTTGTTTCAGAAAACATCTAGAAAAGAAATTTTTTGCTAGCTTTCCATTTCCAACTTCAACTTTTTGAACGGTTTGTCAAAAATTTACCAAAAAATACAGGGTGATAGGTCATTCTATATGTGTGATTCCAAATACTTGTTTCTCACTCAACAGTTCTATAAACTTTTACTTATAATGTATGTTTAATCGCATTGACTTTTGGATTTTTTTGGTAAATTGGCCAAAAACTAAACGCATATTTTTCCTAGTTGTGGATTACACCGTAAGTGCGCACACGTACAGAACATTACGAACTCAACTACACAGGCATAACAGAAATGTACATGTATGTGATGTAATGGGTTCGTCAACTGTGCAGCGTGGGGCATAGTTGCTGATTGCTTGCAGTACAGCTGAAATTTCGAGTCAAAACTTACAAAAGTTTCACTTGTTAATTCACTGAAATTGTTATTTATGAACTAATTTTCTCAAAATCAAGAAATTCTTAATTGGAAACTCAGCTTGCCACAGTGGCTGTGGCTGGCTTTGTATGAGAAAAATATCGTTGTTATTTGGAACTGGTTAAACTGACTCAGAACTAGAACTTGCCACTTCTGACAATCCCGTAAGTCCAGATTAAAAGCTTAGATTTTGGAAGTAATTTTGTAGTTTTTCCAGTACACGTGGTGGACGACTGTTGATATTTCACTGGAATTTTAGGGTTTTGTCACTGGAATCTGACCATGGAGAACTTTATTTTTGAGATCCGGAATTAGGGAAGTGACTGTTCTTTCACTCGCGCTACGCCCACGTATTTACATGTACATGTAATCCTGAACCATCAGCTCGATGGCGAGTTCCGACCAGCTAAAAAAGAAAATGCCCCAGAAAAAAATCAACTTTTGATGACCTCCCGATAACAATCTTGCCTTTATTTCAACATCAGCAAATTTAATTCAAGGAGTCTAAAAAAGTGCCCCGGAAATACCTCACATTGCACCACAGAGTATCTAGAATCCAACATTATAGTTTTAGGCTGTGGAGAACACTGATCAAGGCCCTTTACCATACATGTACATGTACACATGTACATTGTGAACAAAATTAAACGGAGCTTAGATCAAATTTTTGAGTATGAAAACTTTGTTCCAGTCAATATTTGCTTTGTAAAGATTCAGCGACAGTTGTTGTTGGTATCTTTTCACAGTTTCTTTTTTCTCTGGACAAGTGTCCATCTTTTTGAGATGTAAAATGCTCCAATGTCTACCAAGTACAGATATCATCAAATGTGAACGAGTATGTACATGTACAGTAACTTATTTCCTTAAATTTTTTCTTGTGTAACATGGTTAAAAGTGCTTCATGTGATGACACACATGTACACTGTACATGTACAGTACATGTACCTACATGTACATATATTAGTGTTTTGAGTCACATACATGTACATACACGTTTACAGTACGTGTCGTGTGGCCTGACAGATAGTAATTTACTACCTTAGGGTATGTACATGTACATGTACAGTACTTCCACATTTCATGTTTGAACTTTTCCAAACCAGTTTTTCAAGCCAATTTCCCTCGGAAAATTTACTTGTTTCCTGAAGGAGAGAATTTTCTGTGAGAATTTCAGTGTCATTTGAGGGCTTGTGCCGTATTCTAGATTTGGAATTAAAATTTAAATAACTCTAGTAGTAACATGACATGTACCGTTACACCGTATACAATATACATGTATGTATATGTATGAATTTCATAATACAAAATAATGAATAATGCATAAATGTATTTAATAACAAAAATTTTCAGTCCTTTGTATTTCTCTCAAAACAGTTTTAAAGCAGTTGATTACTGCATTAATTACATTGTACATATACATGTAATTAAAAATAAGGAAAGGATTTGGGCAGTAATACTACCGCGAGTCGAGTATTTCCTTCCTTGTGTACATTCTGGATTTTAAGAATAATGTACATTTACTTGTAGCTGTTGTTATTTGAAAACCCAGCATAAATAACAAAATCAAAACAATAATAATAACACTAACAACAGAAGTACATGTACCTAATCCCGCAGAATTCATGAAGTATCGCTATTGTTGGTAGTATGAATTCCTATTTATATCCTATTTGTATTCCTATCTGTATATACATGTACATGTACTTTCAAGCACATTTTAGGATTCAGTAAAGAATAGGAGAATACCACTACGTACATTTACATGTACATCTCATAGAAGGCTCAAAGTACATGTAAGAGTTGAAATAATAGCGTAAGGCATATACTGGCATGTAGGTAATTTTTTTTTCATCCTTAATGGCTTATACACTCTCACAGTTGCATTCACTGAACACCTGCTGAAAGAAGTAACATAAACTACATGTAAAAGTGTACATGTACAATGTACATGTCCAGTTTGGTACTACCTCGTATGCTCCTGACTAATGCGAGGTCCCTGAACAACAAATTGGATGAATTTGAACTTCTTCTTGACACCCATAAGGCTGATTTTGCCACAGTCACAGAGACCTGGTTTAATGAAACTAGTTCTTATGCGGCCAAGATTTCTCATTTATGATGTTTTGCAAGAATCGTCCTGATAGACGAGGTGGAGGAGTTGCAATATATGCCAAGGACTACCTGACTGCACAACCTCAAATGGACCATACATGTGACTTTGAATTTTTGTGGGTGAAATTTCAGCAAAATATGACAGACGACCTGGAATCAATCTCTATGTTGGAGTCATTTACTATCCTCCAGGAGCAGGGTATCAGCAAGAACTGCTTGATCATGTTAGTTATGTTGTTGACCATATACAATATGTAGACACGTCTGCCATATTTATCATATGCGGAGATCTGAATGACCTGGACTGTGATCCCCTGGAGGTCAACCTACGTGTAGGTTTGACACAGATTGTTTCATTCCATACAGGACAAGTAGCTACACTGGACAAGATCTTCACCAATTATCCTGCTTTGTTTGAGGAAATCAAGCGACTGGCCCCTTTGGGCACAAGCGACCAAATGTTGTTGTATTCTTACAACATCTGTTGCTGAATTTGCATGTGTAACAATAAAACTCTGCAGGTGCAACCATACAGAGATTTCTCTGCCATTGTGATGCTGGTTGATTGACTTTAATTGGGTTGATGCTTTAAGAGATTTGTCATCCTGTGATCAAGTTGGATATTTTATTAATCACTTCCTGCCGGGTGACCGTTTTCCAGTACATAGGCTTTATATGCAGAGCGGGGGGGGGGGGAGCCTGGAACTGGGACAAAAGAGTTGGGCCTTATAACAAAAGACCATGCTCAGTACAAAAGACTGAGCTGCTGAGCATTACCCAAATTTTTTCGCTCTCAATAGTGGAGAACATCCAGCCTTGTTTTGAAACAGTATACCATGGTTTGAGGCATTTAGAGCGAGCGGATTACCACCAGGGACAAAAGCTCTCCACCACCACAGCGATGAGCCACAAAGCATCCGCTGCACGCTAATCTTGCCCCAATTGAAAAGAGGTCAGCAGTGCACTGTGCGGGTTTTGGGAACAAAAGAATCTTACGTAACACCGCACAATCTGGGCTGTTTTTCCAAGGCTGCAGGCCTGGCTGAAATATTCTAAGTCAATGAAGGTTAACTGTCAGCTTTAGAGTAGTGCCCAAAGAAACCTTCATTTAGGTATACTAATGGTCATTAAATGAAATGATGACTTTTTGAAGAATTTCCCCGTATGGATCTCTTTCTCTTCTTCTTGCTTTTATATTCTTATTTTTATGTCTGGATTTTTTTTTTCAAGTAATGTTGTAATGTAAAGTTTAATTGATCTAATTGTTAATCGTAATGTAAATTTGAATTGTTTTGGCCTTTGGCCACCGTGACTCAAATTTAGTAAACCATAATAATAATAATAAATAATAAATTATGTGTACACTACCAAGGGACAAGTCCCACATATACATGTATATTGTACTTTTCTCAATTTTCCCTCGAGTTACAATATACCGGTACTGTACCTTAGGACCTTTGATTATTCAAAGCTTTGAAAGACCTGTCGTTGGATTGTAAAGGTTCCGAGAGAATGTTTGATAATTGGACACCTCTGCCGGTGTACATATGTACACTAAACAATCGCATCCCGGTGTCATTTGATAGGGGGGATTAATTTGTTGGAAATAGGATGGACATGTACTGAGTCTGTATGTAAATTTGTTGTACCAGGTACATGTAGTTATGAAGCCATTGTTTTCTGGCCTTGACCAGATGTAGGATATCACACAAAAGTTACTGGATGGCTGGAACTGATTAAATAAAGTTGAAGGACATGGCAGCCAATGCCAGAGCAGTGACATGCATATGACAGTACATATGCATGCACTGCTACACACTTCAGTACATGGCATATACATGTACATTGTAAAAGACCAACAAGGTGCAAAACATTTCTAACACTTTCCTGAGGATGAAAATTGATAGCTTTTTCCCAGTTCTGATGACTGTTGAATTCTTCTTTCACATTCAAGAAGAACCCAACAACAGTGTTAGACTTCAGTACAGGTCCAACTTTTTTTTTCCCAGCAGTGGGAGGAAGGACTGTTTGGGGAATAGACAGTTACATTTTTCAAAAAAATAATTTTCAATAAGATATTACAGTGTAGGCCTACCAGTTTGAAATTAGGCTGAAAAGTGGTCTAAACATACATGTACTCAAAATCATGACCAATTTAATTCTACAGTAAATTCGCCATTCAATTTTTTTATATGACAAGGTCACATTTTAGTATGTACCGGTACTCTCACAGTTTGAATATCATATGCATATGGTAGCAACAAAAGTAGAGCAGAAACACCATGAAGATTTGCTTTTGAGCTTTCATGTACTTTCAGGCATTTTGACTTACCACTTCTGCTTTTGGTTCCAGGGTTAAAATGATGGCAAAAGTGGTCAGAAAAATGACAGTAATCATTTAATACATGCACTCTTCCTGTAGATTTATGCAAACTATATCAGATGCCCTGTCATAATTACTAGCTGGTTTGCAAATGACAAGGTAAACGTGACTGTGTGTGTGCAGGCGTGGCATATACATGTACATGGTATAGTGTGGACCTCTGCACAAAAGAAGTCCACTTAATGTACATGTAGGGTGCAATGGCGTGTAGACTCGCACGCATCCACACAATGTTTTCCCCTCTCTGAAAAACAGTTTCAGAGGCATTGGTTGCAAAATGAACAGGAACAATCCAGGCAATCATCAAAAATCCAGCTAGGAGTTATCCTATTTGGAGAAAAAAAGGAACATTTTCCTCAAGTTTCCTTAACCAGAGGAGAATGTCCACAGTTTGTATGTAAAACAGGTATGTGTGCACCAAAAGATTTTAGTAAATTTTTTATTATGGCATATGTACCGTTTGTTATCACACTGCCAAAAATAATTTTCTTATACCAGAGAGCCATTATTGAAAAAAGAAAATTAATCTTGTTTAAAGAAAATGTTTAAGAAAATATGTTTTTTGTAAGAAAACATTTCTTGAAATACATGTATGAGCAATCAATATCACAAGAAAATTTTTCTTTTAAGAAAATTATCAGCTTATGTCAGAAAGTAATTCTCGGAAAAAGGAATTAAATCTTGTTTGAAGAAAACAGTTAAGAAAGTAAAGTTTTGGCAAGAAAGTATTTTTTTAAATATTGAGCATGTAATACTACCAGTGTATGATTCCTTTTTTAAAAAAATTACATTTTGCTGTAATGCATCTTTTCTTCAAATTAGAAAATACATGTAAATCTTGATTCAAGAAAATCTTTTAAAAACCTTCAGTCAGAATAGAGAAAGAAAAATTCTGAGATAAGTCTTGAAAATGGAATGAAAATGATATGATACCAGTACCAATCATGTAGAAACTGATCCTTGCTGCTTCAAATTCTTCATTCTTAGTCTGTTTTTACTTGCAAGGCACATTAGGTCTATTTGTGGTTCTTCTGCTTGTTGATTTGATTTAATTTGATTTTGCTTCTCTGCTCATCATCTTTTGTTGCAGTTTCCAAGCTGTTTATCTTGTCTTCTTTGTGCTTGGAGTATGTTCAGTTCTGCCCTGGAATATGTTCATCACAGCTAACTTGGTATGTCTAGATTTGTTCTCAGCTATTTCCACTTGGTCATCCATACTTTCCTCAGATGTGTGACCTACACAATATGCTTTGTCTTGGGAATGTGCTCTGTTCTTCCCTGGAATATGTTCATTACAGCAGTTACGGTAAGAATACTGGTAGATGTATATCTGTATTGAAGATGTGCCTGGGATTTTGGTATCAGCGTTAAGAATGTACCCTAATTTTTTGTGTGTTTCAAATTGAAACAGAAAAGGCAAGGTTGTAAAGAAAGAAGAAAAAACCAAAAACAGACATTTGACAGAATCTCACATGTTGTATAGTATACCGGTACATAGTGTGGCATGATGTTGGTGCTGGGTACACGTTGTATTGTGCATAATACTGAATCAATGTAAGCCATTATACTACAATGTATGCAAGTCTTTTCATACCGGTACCTCTACAGCAAATGTATGGAATATTATACATGCTGGTAACATACAGTATACATTTACATTTCAAGTATGGTACAAGTTGAATATGTGCATACATACATGCACATGTACATGTAGGTCTTAAAAAGTTTGGCTGAAATTTAGAAATGTAGAGGTGTACATGTACATGTATGTATTACATGTATAACATTGTATAATAGAAGCTGGCAAAGTACAGTGTATTTAGCAGGTTGTACATGTATGTTCGCCATTGTTCAGGAAGGGATTTTAATGTCAGTTTGGATCCTACGTCTTCAAAGTTGATTAAAACAAACCAACTGAAAGTGGGAAAAGAGAAGGTGGATTTGGGGCATTGTTTCAGATGACGTCGTAGAGTTGTACTGCATGTACATGGAGCTCAAATTTTATTTGTGATTTTGTGTTCATAAGAATGCACATAAATTGTTGATTTGTTTTGTTACCGGTACATGTACCGGCATATGAGGCAATCACTTGGCAATTTTGTCAAATGATCAGTCTAATCTTGTAGAGTGTTCAAAATTACAGGTACATGTACTATATGTGCTTTTTTTTTAGTCATGTTTATGTGTATTTGGTTGTTTTTCAACAGTACTTTGACTACAAGTTTCATAATGTGTCAGGGAATGGCACAGGGCGTACTTCATTAGAGACAAGTTTTGAAAGTTACTTTTCTGTTGCTGCCATGGTTCCAAACCTCATCTTCCAGATGATTAATCTAGCTGTACAGCACAGGTAAGAATGGAATTATGGGTGTCCACTCCATTCGACACAAGTTAATGTACCTCTGTGGCTTATTAAAAATTCATAAATACCTGGGATAGTTTTTCTATTCTTCTTGGTTGAAACACATCATGTGACAGTGTATTAACATCGGATATTGCCCGCTGAGAAGTGATAATGCCCGCTGCGTAAATCATGTGCTGGTACATGGATAGGAGACAGATTAATCAGGTCTGAGTAGTCAGGAGGCGTGTACCACACATGCGCCAAGTTCACTGAAAGGGCTTCTGTTTGGCAACTGTTAAAAGGAATTTACCATAAAATGGAGGAGGCTGTTCGGGAAAATGAAATTAAAGTTTTAGAACAAAATTGTCGGAAATCCATCATATCTTGACTTCTTTTGACTCTCTGAATAAAAAGGTATTTATGAATGGGAATAAATGTTACTTGGCCAGCCTTAAACTAATGTTTAAGACCTTGTTCTAGAGAACGAAAGCTGATAATATGTGTCTGGGGCATAAGTCATGTCTATTCTCCTGATGAGTCGGTTTTAAACACACTTTTAAGACCAGCTGAACACATTTGAATTGCTTTTATATGAACAATCCAAGTACACATATAACTACATGTGCATGATGTATGTATACTTACATGTACATGTATAAGCATTCTTCAAGTTTGGTACAATCTGGTGCTGAAATGCTGTGGTATTGTAGCACTATATAACCATCATGCTTCTTCATAAAAATGAAATACCTTTTTCATATGTGTGTTCATGTACAGTATGTGTACAGTAATGCGGTGACAAGACCTTTGCCACTGCATTATTGTAGGAAAACATGGCTGTGTTCTGTATGGAAGTTTGTGTTTGACCTACTGTACCGGTACAGGTGTTTTTCATAAATGTACATGTACATGTACTTCTACTGGTTCACTTTAAACAAATAAGAAAATACTGTTATCCTTCTGTTTGAATGTACAAACTTCACTTGCCTTGATATTTTTCTTTTCAGAATCAGTCTTCAGATTCGAGTAATGGTCCCTTTGATTGGAATGCTGATCCTTTTCGTTTTGACAACAACTTTGGCAAAAGTAGACACAGATGAATGTAAGGCTAACCATTTTATCTTCAGTTTTTGTTATGATGGTGAATACCTTTCTTATTATGTAGTGAATAATTCATAACTACTTCCTTCACTTTTTACAGTGCATGCTGAGAAGTGGTGATGTTATTATGTTCAGTGATCTGTTGGGAAGATAAGTAGGGCTTGACCTTTACATTGACCATGAGTGGCTAATGCTCAGATACCCCACTGAAGTGGCCACAGTGCCCTCTGAGAAAAACTTGTGTCACAGTCAAGTTGGCTGGCATGTCCTTTGCCTACAGTAAAATCTGCTGTATGGGTCCTATGTTGCCATAGTTGGTGCTACACAAATTTGACCTGCAGGTTTGAAAGAGCACTGATACTGTTCATACATGTACCCCCTCACAACAATATATGGTTTGGTGGCACTGAAAACCAAAGTCTATAGGGTTCATTTGTGTAGTACATGCAATACACATGTTTTTTGGGAACTGGTCCAGAGCTCTCCAGCTGCTCATATGCACCTCTGCGCACAAATGTACATGTACCTTAGCAGGTGGATATAGGCACCCTAAAAAAAGACTTCAGGCATTGCATGCATGGCCATCTTGTTCATAAAAGAGTCAAGTTCAAGAATAAGTTTCTAATTTTCTTTTTTATGCACTATGATGTACTGGTACTGGTAGCAGTACATATCCAAACTGAGCATTATGCAAACAATCATGCAAAGGATCAAACTACCGGTACATATTCACTTAAAATTTGTTCAAGTCAAGCTGCAAAGCTGATATTTCTTTCTATGTACTGGTATACATTTTGGGGGATTCCTTCAGAAGAAAAATTCCCTGTCATTCACCAGTCCAGGGAAGCAAGATTTTCTGTAACCACCTGTGGTGTACACACGATTGCCGGTCTACAGGGCTGTCTTCACACGCTTGGTAAATCCAGTACCCACTAAAAGGCTATGGATTGCTTCTTCACTAGGAAAAATTATATATTCTCCGTAACTTGCAAGTCATTGTAACAGTTCCAAATGAATTTAACAAATTATGGATACATAAAGAAGAGTCTTTAGTTTTAATTATGGGTTTATACCTGCATATTCATAACACTGGAATCCAAGTGACTGGATACTCAGTGTTGTCTAATAATAATGTCTAATAGTTTTTAATGATTTGACTTTTTAAAGAATGTGAAAACATAACTTTTTAACCCCTTCTCGACGGGAATTTCTTTCTGAAAGCTGACTCCAAGAATTCCAGCCTCACTTGGTTAAGAAGGCCACCTGCCAAACTGCAAATTCTTGGTTTGTGGCCCAGCGTGCTCTGCACGCTTTGAATTACACAGTGAAAGGTGGATTGTTAGGTGGCATGCGGCTCTTCTCAAGCTTCCACATTTCCGTTGCCTCTTTTCAAAGTGGGTACTATTGTGAAGCTGGTGATTATGATGCAAATTCGGTCTTTTCATTTCTGGGCTACACACAAAGACCAATTACCATATACACAAGAGCCAGGGTCTGCCTTCTTACACCATGTTCGCTCGAGCGTGGGCCGAGAAAAATAGCTGGAAAGCGGGCTGAGGATCTCAATTTTTACAGTGTGTTTTAACGGCGTGAAGGGGTTAAAGACACGTGTTCGATCGATCCTGTACTGTGTGCACTGTGCATGCCTGTATAAAATGTGCATGTACATGTAACAATCCTACCTTTAATGCACAAAATTAAAATTGGTCTTTTTGCCTTTCCACTTGGCCGTAATGCCCTACAATCTTCGTGTCGTTAACAGGTTTACATGTACGTGTATGGTGTTGGTCTAGGCCTGGATAAGGAAATGAAGAAAATAAGAAGGCATTGCTTTGTAGTTTCACTGTCACCATTTATTTCCTGTAATTTTTATTTATTTTCTCAAGGGCAAATTTGGTTTTTTGCTGTCTGCATGTGTAGCGTCATTCTCATAAATGGTAAGTCTTTTATACAAAATGGTAAACAAAGCAGCACCGATTTTCACCAAATTTATTAAAAGGGATACATGTATCTTCACTTATGCCACATTTTATTACTTCATTTGTACCACAAATAATGGCACATTTTACAAAAATTACACACTTTGAAGACCTGTGACTAGAGCAGCAACTTACAATAACTTAAGCTGTCATTTTAGGTAGTGTAAGTGGCACTGAATAAATTGACAATGAACAGTTTATCTCCATTTAACCCTAACCCTCCTCGACCCTCCAAAACTCCCTGATTGGTTTTGTATTTTGGAGGATTGAGGAAGAATGGCAAAATAGTGTGGCTGATTGTGAAGCATTCATCGTGTATAGGTTGTGGGTTAGACCTTGTGTTGTTTATGCTCAGCCATGCATAAATTCATGTCTAGAGTATACAGTGAACATAAAATTATCCATACTGCTCCAGGATACCATTTGCAATGCCTCAACACAATGACAGGAATTGCTGGAGGATTTTTGAATGATTGAGGCAATGGGCACACCTCAAAGGAGCATATTCCAAAAATACATCTATTGGAAGATTTAGAAAATTGATGTAGAGTCCAATTTTTTGCATGAATTTTGAATGATTGAGGAGAGTGCCCGGCAGAAAGGCCTAGGGGGTAAGGGTTAAAGGATCCATGCAATGGAATTTTTTTAGACTCGCTTCTGTTGCATCATTATATTTTTCTTTAATGTACGTGTAGTGAAAAGTGCACTCTTTTTAACATTCAAAATTGTCCAAGCTTTTTCAGACAAGCAAGAGCTCAGTTGCTGTAAATGAGGGAAGACGTTGTTCAGTTTTGACTTCATTTCATTTTGAAAGTTTTGTACATGAATACCTGATGTAGAAGACCACTTTCTAGTTACATGTACATGGAAACAACATTGTATAGCCCATTACAAACCTCTCTCTGCCATGTTGGACACAGTACATGTACCTAAATGTACACCTACCCATTAATCATAGTTCCAAGACCTTCACATTCCTCCTTTCAGCCGAATTGGATTAATTTAAAGTACAGAGGGTGCTATAATTATTCGTATCTGGCTTTAAGTGAAGGTGTCAGACATTTTGTTTGACAGTGCTTATGTTTTTTATTATATATTTCCTCAGACTTTCAGGGGAGCCAATCAGCAGCTTTGTTTGAGCCTTACATTAAATTATCCATGTTAATTCATGACATCACTCAACGGAGAATTGACCACAAAAATGGCATCCCAATCTCAAAGTCTGAAAATTTCCATGTAAAATGGCACCTTTAGCTATGCCTATAAGATATGCCGATAGATCACTTCCAAAACAAATTTATAACAGTGCTAAAGGGAGTGGAGATATTATCATTAGTCATGCTGTGGGCGACACGACAAAATATGAAAATGGCTCCAATTTTCAGTTATCTGCATTCGCGTCAAGTTCTTAGCATCTGAGTAAACTATGTTAACTGCTTCAGATTGAAAATGTTGTGCTTGAACATGAAGTATGTTGAAGGTCATTTAAACATACACCACAGTCTGTTGCCTCCCCAGATCATACAAAATTTCCAAGACTTTCCTGTGACCTTCGTCTGGAGATTGCGCCCTCTAACAGTGATGGTTCTTCATTACTCACAGATTAAACAACATGTACTCAGAGGTCTTGGAACCAAGACTAACCTACATTGTACACCCAGACATACATATAAATAGAACACTGTGAATTACCCTTACCTTCATGTACCTGTCACTGGAAGGGAAAGTGTCGTCATTTCACACGAAGTTGATCTATGCATGGACCGTTATGCCTATAGTGATAATTTGTTATATTCCCTAAGTTCAGTAGCTTTTTTGTTGTCTCCTGTGTTTAACGTTCACAGTATGTGGAGCTGTTTACCAAGGCAGTGTGTTTGGTTTAGCTGGTATACTTCCCAGACGCTACATGCAGGCAATCATGTCAGGCCAGGGTATGGGTGGTATTTTGCCTTCCCTACTCAGCATCGTTTCCATTGCTGGTAAGACTTGCAGTAAGAGGCACCAGAATGTGTTACACATATTTTCGCTTATTGTCAATAGATATCAGTCAGCATGGTCAGCGCAAGCAATTGTTGTACTCTTTGAGGGAGCACCATCAAATATGGTACGTTTGTTTTTCAACAACAAAGGGTCTGAAGTGGGACATACCTTAACTGCATATTTAATAGCTTTGTGTGACACATAATGGGTTCATCAACTGTGGTGAAGGTGATAGTATCATTGGTACGTGTAGCTCATTGTGCTGCTGAAACAGATTTAAAGGTAAGTCAAAACGTACACTTTTTTTTCAATTTACTGGTACTTACATTCTGATACAGGAACTAATTTCCTGTGAATTAGGAAATTATTTATTAGAAATCTTCTTGTTATGATGGATGCGGCTTAAATGGATTTTTCACAGACAGTGTAGTTATATGTACTTTGTATGCATGAAGAAGTTTTTAACGTGATCCAGAACTGGTTAAGCAATTTGGAAACTAGAAAACATGTCGTTATCACTTTCATTGATCTTGTGAGTCCAATTAAAAGCATGAATTTTGGAAACAAATGTAATATTATAGTACAAGGTACAGTAACTGACAACATTTTAATGGGATTTTAGGATTTTAGCAATCCAGAAGTAAAAACAGACTTAACTCAGTATTTCAAGCTTGAAGCAGTTGGACAGGAAAATGTTTTTGTAGAAATTGCACATTGGTAAATTGAGAACAGTTAATACAAAGTCCTTTAGGCATGAAAAATAAATTTCAGAACCCTTTGAATTCAAAATCCAGATATTTTAATACACCTTTGTCCCAAATGGTAGAGTTGGGCTTATGCCTACTAGTACCGCTGGGGGATTATCTTGATTAATCGATTAATTGTGATTAGTTCCTCCTACTCGTTTCACTACTCATGGATTTGCAACTAATCGATTAATCGCGCCAGCACGATTACATGTAGTAACTCTAGAAAAATGTGAGTAGTGATTGTTATGGAGTACCGATTAAGTTACACACACTACCAGACTCTGCATGATCATGATCCAGGGCACACCTGCTTTATTTCGGCAGTCTCCACTGACAGACTTGTGGTCGACTTTTAGCCTTTCCTACTGTTAACCTTAGTCCAAAAATGTAGCAAGAGTTGCCAATTGCCAACTGCAAGTATCCAAGGCTTCTGTGTCATGTTGAAAGGAAGTAAACTACTTGTAGTTCATGGGTTCATAACTTCATTCCGAACAATCTGAATGTTTCAAATTACGCACAGATCCATTTTTTGATGCTAGTTATTTTGTGTCTTGGAGTTTTGAACTTTGTGAGTGAAACAAGTAAATGTAGAACAGCCTTACTGCCCCATCCACAAAAATTGGAAGTTTCTCTGTTTCATAATTTTTTCCACACTAAGTGAAGGGTTTGTAGAATAACTAGCTTGGTGGGTCCAATGAGTAATGCCTGAACCGTCATACTTCATGTTCATGAAACAATTTTTCTCTGTGTGAAATTCTGAGTCCAGTATTTTTTACCTTATTTTGTATAATTTATAATTATTGCTTCATTCTATCCACCATAATGCGATTGAACTCAAAACACTTGTGAAAAAAAACACACTTTACACAAATGAGAATTTCCCAAGGTAATGGTCGAATGTGATCACTTACTGCACTGGCAGACCTCAATAGTTCAGACAGAATGCCCTTTCAGACATACGGGCACCGGAACCCAACCACAGTGGGACGGCACTGTATGCACTGTGCAGCCCCAGTCTTTGAAAGTGTGCCAGATGGCGGCCAAGTTTATCAGTGTAAAAATGACGTCCGCGAGACCGTGGCTGCAATCATTGGCCAGTAATCCGTCCATCGGATTGTGATGAATTATTCATATTGCCTCACATGCTCAAAGAATGAATGAAGGCTGAACAATGTCTGTGGGCTATGCCATTGAGAAGTTTAGGGAGGTTATTTAGAACTTCATAATGTGAGAAAGTGGAATAAAAGTAACTGAGTAATCAGATTATTTCCCATGTTTAAAGGCAAGAACTATTCTATTCAAACAGTTTCAAACAAGCTAACAGCTTTTTTACTTTGAAATTGAAGGAATCTGTAATCTGTATTTGAGCCTCCACAACAAAGATTTATTAAAATTGTCCTAAACACGTTCAGAATGGAATCAGCAGCCAGACATCCTGTTTTTGGCGGACTATGTAGTTTTCCAATACTTGACTGCAGCTCCGTCACAGGCCTCAAATGTTTTTTTTTACCTGACTTTGAAGTTGTTAACTCGATAGTGAGTCTGACAGTGCTACAAAATATCAAATTTGATGCAAAAGAGCCAAACATTACAGTACTTCAAATTAATTAAAATGCTTCAGGCCTACAATTAGTATAATTAGACAACCCTACCAGTTTACACCTCAGCCTGCAAAAGTTATAGTTCACTAATGTCACTGGCAGCTTACACATGAATTTTTCACAAGCTGCTTTCTGTTTGAATATTCATTGACAGCAACCAGTGATCCAGAGGAAAGTGGTTTTATCTACTTCTTGTGTTCAGTGGTCTGCATCTTGATAACAATTACTGCTTTCCTTGTTCTACCAAAAATCAAATATGCAGCCCACTACCTCAATAAACATGGTATGTACCCTAAAGATTATAGATCAGTCATTAGACATTTGCATATGGCTTTGACTTAATATTGTAAGTGAAAAGCATTTGATGAAGGATGGAACTTAGAATATTTCATGCAACAGATGAATTGGAATTACCTTTTTAAGTGGAAGATGTTCATGTATAAGCTGTTGTTGTGTATTCATAGACATGTTGGTATGTGAAGAGATGAATGACACAGATGGGCAAGCACAGTGAGCTTTACTCGACAGCTTTGTATACATGTATTCAGATTACTGCACAAATATTATTGGCCCTAAGTGTATTTTTTCTCCTGTGGACTACTTTAAATTCTTTGACCTTTCAGTTTGTGAGAATTAGTATTTTAAAAGTGTACGTGTATCCGGTCAACACGTGTAAATTAGTTTTTCGTATTTTTTTATCATGTGTGTGTAGCTGAAATGACTAAAGTCAAGAAATCACGTGAGTTGGAAAGCACAGAAAGTTTTGAGAAGGTTAAACATCATCAAAAACCCCCGTTTGCAGAAATCTTTTGGAAAGTAAGTGTGAATGTCATGAATTTTCTGTCAGTAATTATTTAGGAACAGGATTTTTTTCACTTGAGGGTGTGATATGTGTACATGTAGCTGTGCTTAGAAGGCCACTCACATATGTACACATCAACTCCTTGGTTTGATGATTTTTATGGCATTCAGAATGTTATTGGTTTAATAGTCTGTCTTTTTGGTATTCTCAGATCAAAGTGCCTGCTGTGATGGTTTTGGTAGTGTTTGCAGTAACATTAGGATTGTTTCCGGGAACCTTGTCTTCTGTCAAGGCTGTCAATACAAACAACAAAAAATGGGCACGTGAGTATTACATATTCGTGACACAAACTCAGAGCAAATTTACCAGTTTGAATTGTTTTTGTTTTACTGTGGCATTCATGATCAGCAAATCAGGGTGATATTTGAATGTTAAACAATTATTTTAATAATTTTAAAACAATTAAGACCAGCACACATACCAGTTCAACCCATCAGCTGTCCCTGTCTACATGTACGTGCATACAGCTGGCTGAATGTTGTTGACGCATCATCTGAAGTAGCTACACCTCTCAATAAAATTGAATGTGTAATATGTCAACATGTTCTCCATAATGTATATTATAGTCATTACACCAGAAAGATTTGAGGTATAAATTGTATCACCATTTCAAATCCCCTTTGCCGTTTTATTGCAGATGAATATTTTAGTCCCGTTGCATGTTTCCTTGTCTTCAACACCATGGATTTCACAGGAAGGTCACTGGCAGTCATTGAGTGGGTAGGTAAAATGAAGGAATTATTGAAATGAACATGGTGAAGTGTAATGAGTATACTGCATACACTATCTAGTCAGTGGATCAGTGCTTATGACATGCCAACCAGGCAGGAAGTATTGTGCCAAATTCAGCTGAATAGACCCATTTAACTTGTAAACACCTCTCACCTGTTTGACATTTACTCTCTTTAGCCAAAGCCCAACCACATGCCTGTCATCAGCATTCTGGTTCTACTCCGTTTTGCATTCTTTCCACTCTTTGCCTTCTGTAACCTCCAAAATGACAACGCCCCATCTAGAGTGTTCTTCAGCAATGATGCCTATTTCATCGTCTTCAATGTCCTCTTTGGACTGACAAATGGTTATTTAGGCAGCTTACTCATGATTTATGGACCAAAGTAAGTTCATTGTCCGTTTTTCGATCTTGTTATTGTAAAATTTTCATATTACAAAAATTGTATTTTTATATGTAGTGTTATATTTGTATTTTTTTACAAAAATTTGTGGCATTATGCATGCCACAAAGCTGTCAATCACTGACACCAGTTTTTCTTTCTTTTTGAGAGTGGGCATTATCATCGTTTTTCGATGAATGTCCACAAGCATAACCACATTGTATTTTGTTTTACATTGTGTATAGTTAATGATGCACCACATTCTGCTGGTCTTCCTTGTGTCATTTTTCAAGTTGATATACTGACAGTTTTTTGTAATAGAAACTTTCCAGTGGCCTTTCCATGCCTCCCAGAAGTTCATACTTTTATAATCAGATCAGTTTTGTTACTATCGTATTTCAACTTAGGTACAGCACTCAGCACTTGGTTGAAACAAATTTGTATATCATAGAGTCAGTAATCATGACACAAGATTTCTCAGCTGTTGTAATGTAAATCACCTTTTCAGGTTAATGGTAACAAAGTATAACTCAAGTGAAACTCAACCTTAGTCATGAAGTTCAGTCTTACAGTACTGAAGTTGAATGTTTTCAAACGTCTTTTTTTTCTTCAAACATAGGTTTGTCGATGTCAAATGGAGTGAAACTGCTGGTGTGATGATGTCTCTCTTCCTTGGCACTGGATTAGCTATTGGTTCTGTTATCTCTGTATTGTTCCTGAAAATTGTTTAGGCATGTTTTACAGAAGGGGCATATTCAGTCTTAATGCCTGAAAAAGGAGGTGTGGCAGGACCAATAAAAGTGGTGTATTTTTATTTTTGCATCTCCTGATAGTGCCATGCTAGAGCAATATTTTTCTCTCAGTTTTCACAATAAGAGAAATCTAACAAGCTCTTAACCTTCCTGTTCATAAATCTTGAGTTCCCAAGATTACTAACTACTGATAAAATTCTATTTTCATCCTGATTTTCTAATTTTTTTGAAGTGCACAATGAACTCTTTTACAATGCACAAAAGAAGAAAATAATTTAGTAATAATAGAAGTTTTGTACATGAGGTAGTAATGATTTATCAAAATTTATCAACTTCAAAGAAATTCTTATATGCTAAGTTGTGGTTTTCTAAGATTTGTTCAAGTGCACCTTGTTAGGAAACACTTCATTGAATTTGTACTCAATTTCTGAATGCCTCCATTTTTTTGAGTTTTGACTAAATTTCATGACCGTGAAATTACTCACAAGTTGTTTGGCAACACTGTGTGATAAAAGTCAAAGGAAAGTGAGCTGCATGAGGTGACTTCACTCTTTGGCATGACACTCTAGGTTTTTATTAATAAAGATGGACATTGTGGCCATTAAAACAAAATTGAACAGAAACAAGTGTTTGAATTGAGCGTTGATTAGTTTACATACATGTACACGTACTTCTAGTGCTTTTTAGTGTTCTAGTGATTACAGAAGAGCCAGATTACAGAAGAAGATTGCTACAAATGCTACTTTGAGAAAGAATTGTTCAAAGTCACAATGAAAATTTGTGACTTCAACATAACCAGAGTACTATGTTATCACATTGACCTAGTTTCGTAATTTACATGTCAATAAATTTCATTATGTCTTTCAAAGGACATTTACATCTAGTAGAATCCACTCAAGACAGAGCATGTACACTGTACAGTGCATGCAACGATTCTAGAATATTTCAGTATTGTATTTTGATGTAGACTTGTATGGATGCATATGTGTGCAGTGGGGGAGGGGCTTCAAGGTTTTCAATTTTTTTAAACTTTAAAACAAAGATTCACTATACACCTACAGGTTGAATTACTAGCTCTAATATAATGGTATATCCTAGTCCCCTTTGGCACAGTGGGGAAGGGGAGGGGGCCTTGAGCATCATGACTTACATGTAATTTAGAGGGTTAGTTATAGTATGAGAACCCACCCCACTGTCACCCCTCACAAAAAGTCCTGGTTGCACCACTGCAGGTGTGCATATTTTTCATTATTTTTCATATTAAAACGTACATGTATGTAAATTTTTCAAGCATAATACATGTATATGCCTGATGTTTGTAGGGAAAACCAATATATTTTTGGTACACAATAATTGATATTTAGCATTTACATACCGGTAGTGTGTCTAACTGAAGTCTCGCCCAACTGATCACATGATAACAAGTATGTTCACTGGTTAAGTCAGGTATCTGATCATTTAAAAACGATTTACATAACAATGAGATGGGTAGCAACATATTTGCTTGGGATTTTGTATAAGAGGAATGTTTGACAATCATGTTGAATGATGACCTCATTTTGTTTGTCCTCAAACCTGCAAATATCTAAAAGAACCTAAAACAGCATCACAGAGTTACTCAGTGTACAAGGGGACAGCTTGAATAAAGAATGCTCCCTATGACACTAACAAATGCATCTTTTCCAAGTGAAACTGCCATTTCTCCTCTGCTTAGACATGCTTAAAGACTTCAGATGGACAGTCAACATTTGTGCAGAAAGCCATGGGAGATTTCACTAAAGGAAAACAATATGGTTGTAATGTTGTGGAGCAGCTTCACAAATTTGATTGTAGCATGTTTTTTCCTTGATGTCACAAAGAGTAGAGAACTAACTACATTGGTGAGGGGCAGATTTGTATTTCCCCCCAAAAGAAGTAGTAATTACAGATGGGGAATATGTTGAGATCTACAGCTTGTAACGAAACGTCTATGCTGTACATGTATTGTAAGGAAAGAAGTATGGTACATTTACTGCTGTGTTTGTATAAATTTAAGAAATCTGCAATACAGTGAGGGAATTAGTCGTTTTACTAATTTAGGATATTTTGTTTCCATTGGGGGGATATTCCTTAAGGGTTATTCAAGTGTTTTTCACATTGGCTTGATATATTTAAAAATATGTACACTTTGCTTAATTAAACTGATATGGTGGCAAGTGTGTCTGTTAAAAGGCTTTTTCGTTTTCCAAATCATATTCGCTTGTACTATTCAATATTTACATATACTGGTACTTAGTGTTTCAAAAGGTAGATGCCTATCAGTGATGGTTAATGAGTAAATCTCAAAGATCTAGATTACCAAGACAGCCTAGCATGACACAAAGTTGTCACATTCTGACTCTGTTTATGCTTCAGTTAGTATTCCTGGGTTCCTTGTAAATTGTTCTGTTTGATTATACATATTTTTCATTGTATTAGAAGCATCCGCATCACTTACACATTCAGAAATTTTGTCTATGAAAAGAAATATTGTCCTTCTCCTTTCTTGTTGGCTTTCTGCCGTTTCGTTTAATAGGGCTGTTACACGTACAGTTCTTAACTTTGCATTGCACTTGTATGCACTTTGCTCTTGACCAAAAAGAGCTCCCACACAATTCTTGTGCATATCATGCAGTGCTCTGAATAATTCATGCCATGTGATCTCTATGCAACAATTAGATGACGGGGCTTATTTAGGTGTTGTGCAATAGTGAATAACCCAAAGAAGCTCAACTCTGAAATGACTCCATATATTTTGTGCTGGGATACACTCATCTGTGATTGTTTTTTTATCTTGAGAAATTTTTATCTGTGAAATTCAGAAATATTAAACCCCCTCCAGCCCTTCAAAAAAACTATTGATATTACACATTGTTTGAGATATTGCTTCTTAAAATGTACATTTGTTAACTTGCCAAGGTGGGATGTAGCTCTAGTGATTTTTGGCTGATGGAATATGAACTGAAATATTGTCAATTCTTTGTAAAGATTCCACATGGAGATAGCAAATTTATCAATCTTGACATACTTTCTCATTGTTGAAATACATTCTTGTTTGATTATTTCTAAACACATGACTGTAGTGGCCTTTATGATGTACATTGTTTTTTTCTTACTTTTTGAAGTACTTATAAATACTGAGGGTTTATTTGTCTTCTGTTTTGACAGTAAAGCTGCTCTATGTCTCAGTAAAATTTACAATAGAATGGAATCAAAATGAAATGCTGTCATGAAGTTTGCATTGGGTCTGTCATAAATGTGAGGGATGTATCTAGGAAGAACCTGAAAAGGTTTGGAATAAAGAACGGGTTAAATTAATAATGTTCCCATACCTCATTTACCTCAATTTGAGTTTACAGATTTTTTTCCTAAATGCAATGAATGACTAGATCTCTTACAGAATAGAAAAGCTGTAAGTCAAGGCATTTGCAGTGATAAATTTACTCTATACGCATGGCACGCATAACACTTGACCATAAAACCTGGATGTAATTTGAAGCCTGCTGCCACAAAATCTTTTATGAATGGGTTTTCCAAGACTTGCATTGATCTAGTGGAAGAAATCACCTGTATGCTGATCATCTGTGCTGGATTTCATGCACCTGTCCAGAATTGCCCCCATCGCGGAAGTAAAAGCGTCTTCTGTGTTACAAGTAGTAATTTGACTCCAAAACAATTGCAAAATTAAAGAAAAATGTAAACCCATCAAATGACTATAAGTGGCAGTGGCACTGCCTATAAGTATGTACGTCATAACATGCAATTTCCATGTAGTGGTATAAAACCATGTCCTTGAACATTTTAATAAACTTAGGACTTTTGGTTCCAATAAATTTGAGAAACTATCAACTTGCTTGAAGTACAATAAAAATCACATCAGTATAACCACTTACCCCTGATCCCCTAGGCTCCTGCACCAGAAAGCATACTGAACCTCACAAATAATAATAATATTAATCCTTAAATGCTGCATTGAAGAGATGAGTTTACAGATCCTTCTTAAACTGCAGGAAAGAAGGGGAAGACCGCACCCATGCCAGTAGATTGTTCCAAAGATAAGGTGCAGCATATGATAAAGAATAACCCCCCATGAATGAAAATGACCTGGGTTCTCTAAGAAGATTCATATTACTGGATTGAAGTCTGCGCATGGGATTGTAAGGTTGTAATAAGTCATCAATATATGCTGGAGCAAGACTGTGGAGTGATTTATAGACAAATGAGAGCATCTTGTTAATGATTCTGAACTTAACAGACAACAGGTGCAATTCTTGTAGGACCAATGTAATGTGACATGTCTTTCTTGAGAGAGTAATGATACAAGCATCCGAATTCTGTATACGCTATAGATGATCAATTTGTGATTGTGGGAGTCCAAACGAAAGTGCATTTCCCATATCCAAAAGCGAAGTTGTCACTCAATGGATGATCTGCACTGTTGCATGTAAACAAAGACATTTTGGTATTTAACCAACAATATGAATATGGAACAATTGGAACGAAAAACACGTGAAACATGCGAGTCTAAAGAAATTGTTGCATCACAAATGACCCTCAGGTCTCTGGCCTTTGAGATAACTGGAACATCAGTATTACCTATTGTGATATGAGGAACAGATATCTTGGCAAATTGTGAATTAGAACCAAAGAGCATAAATTCTGTTTTCTTGTCATTTAGCTTGATAAAGTTATCTCCCATCCCTGACCTCAGACACACAGGTCTCCATGTTCTCAATTCTCTGGTCAGCACAATCCTGTAAGGGCCTATATGAAAGATACAGCTGGGTATCGTCAGCATACATGTGATAGTTGAGTTGGTGTCTGGAAATTATATTTTATAATGGGTATGTATAGACAATGAACCAAAGTGGTTCCAAAACTGAACCTTGAGGCACTCCAAATTTATGAACAACTTAGTTGGATTTACAGCTTTCAATTGGAACAAACCGGGTCTGGATTGGAGATGACATTTGCTGCAGAGATTACTAGTTCCAAAAGGTATTATATCAAACAGGAAATTAGCGTAATCAAATGTCAGCTGGAAGTGAGTCAGGACAGACTTTGTTTTAATCCATCAGCAATTAACCCTTTGCATCCAGTTGGCTACTGGCAAGATTGTATTTAGATGCCCTCCTGCACAAAATGGTTTTTGAGCAAGAAATAACATTCAAATCACAATAATTTCACTCAACTCTTCTCTTTAATTCTATAGTGCTGAAACTGTGCTGTACAATGGATACTTGATTACGTGCAAATGTATTTCATTTATATTTTAGGTCCACTTGAAATGTTGATATCAAATCCAGTGCACAACACAAGGCCTTTCAAAGACAACTCAATGTTTGGTCTACAAAGAAAAAGAACAAGAAAAAATGGAAAGCAAAAACAGATGAAAAGGTACACAGGTTGACAGTAAAGGAAAGGTTTGCCATGTTCAACATAAAAGATGATTGTTCAAACTACATATTATCTGGAATAAATTGTGACAAAATTTCAGAAGTGGCTTTCTTTAGTCATGTGTTCACACCGAGCTGAGAAACTGGCATGTTTGGGGTTCAGAATTTGAACATGAACAGTCATGAACTGAAAAGTATTCTCCCTGATTTACATCACAACAACAGCTCCCTACCGTATCCTCCAGAAAAGCCTAGACAATTCATAAGTCTTTAAAGAAATTCTCTTTTCTTTACACCTATATAGAAAATAATTTCAGTTTTCAAACATCAAAGAAGAGCATAAAAGGCACAAAAAGTGAGAGTAAGAAAAATTAATTGCATGGATTTTTAAAGAAGTTTTAAAGAAGATTTTTAAAGAAAGAAACCAGGGTTCCAATCTTCTTGCCTTTACTGTTCAAATGGGACATTCAAACTATAACCAACTAAAATTTATTCCATAGTCATGATAGTAGAATGCGAAAATTCAATATTATACAAAACAGCTTAATGAAACCTCTTTCTGTATCCCAGTTTTTTTCTTAGTATGGTGTGAATTCCGACAAATTATCAGGCTCCAAATCAATTCATGCTTCAGAGAGTATTCCGTGGTGTTGTGCAAATTTCTCTAATCACATATATTTCAGAGTATAGCTTCTTTGTACCCTGTACAATGTACATCAGGATCACTTTGTTCAGAAATTCCTTGATCTGTGGATAGTGTGAACACTGATCTGTTACATACCAAATGGAACTGTTCATTTTAGTGGTGTGAGTGTCTAATATTGAGAGGTATAATTCATGTCACATGATCAATAATCTACAAATCAGGTGATGATTTCGTCAGTATTGTATACAACAAATCATTTCTTGCCAGAAGACGATATAGATGTTCATGAAGCATATTTAGCACAAAACATTTATTTGGTTTATTTTTATCCTGATAAACGTTCATCCTCTACATGTACCGCATGGGTTTGTAATATTTTGATGGATACATGTGTAGTCCTGAAAGTGATATTTACACAGGTTGATTTCATAATTTGTTTTAGAATACGATTATGTCAGTGGTTAAATGCACAAGTTGAACTGTTCATAATGTTCCATTATGTAACAAACATATACGGAGGGAGTTTGGGTGAAACAACAATATATGTACAATAACCCTCCTATGTGGAAGTCACTCTTTGGGTCACTTGGTAAACACCTCCAAGAAGCACAGCTGTGTCATGTTGTGCACTGCACCAACTGTCCCTCACAGGAATATCAGATTGCACTTTTGTACTGCCCAATAACTGTGCTTCACTGTTTCATGTGCATAACTGTGCAGTAAACCAAATGCAGTGAAGAGGACTGCACAAAAGACCCTGGGTCATTTTGTGCTGGCAATCTACTGTGTGCACACTGAACCTGTTTATGTTTGAGTTCCATATAGAAACTACATGCTCACCAGTGACTGTGGGCATTTGTGCACATTTGTGCTGTAAAACCATAGGAGGGTTAAAAGGATGAAAAACCCTTTTGAGAGAATATACTTGTGCTGGCTACAATGACAGCTGGCACCTTGTTCATAGAACACATAAAACATGACAAAATTATACATGCATGAACAAATAAAGAACTGCACCCTTGAGGAAGACTTGTGAGGTTTAGAGGTCCAGTTTAGGGTCACTTCCGTTTTGTTCCGTTCACAAGGATGTTGAGAAACTTCCCCCTAGTCATCTCACGAGCTGTGGATTTTTGAAGACATGAAAAACTTCAACATTATTTTGTAATGTTAATTAAACAATAAGTAATACAAAACTGCTGCAAACGCCTTGCTGACTACAGTGACCTAAAATACAAATCACAAAGTATGGAGGGCCTGACGTTTTAATCCTAGCAGGAACCTCCTCCATATTTTGTAAGTAACTAATCAACAATTAATCCTAACAGTCCTCAGTCCTTCACTTGTTGGAGGACTGAGGACTGTTAGGGTTAATCACACAAATTTACATGTAATACTACTGCCAGCCTTCATGATAACCATAACATCCTAAAACTTTTCTTCTTTTTCTGGACAAAAAAGGTTTGAATAATGGAAGGTACTGACATACGGCATAGCATTTAGAAGAAAATATGAAACTGTCAAATTGACAAAACCACAACGACTGTTCAAAGAATTATATGGAGCCACTGCACACTTCTGTGCCAGTAACCTGAGAATATAAAATGGCAGTGCTTTGGTTAGCAGAACTATATTTAAAAATTTGCAGGTTGCAATTCAGGTAAAATACGTAAATTAACAGTCAATGCACAGTCAACCAAACTGCATCACTTTGAGGGACACTACATGTAATTTAACATACATTCTTCCAAACCAAGCTGGTATGCTAAGTTCTGTAATCCTTTGACCTTCTCCATCAGGTTGGCTGTTGTCAGGCTACCTAGCTCTGTACACAACCAAAAAAAACAGACAAACTGATATGTAAACTCACTTGTATCTCACTTGCAGATTCTCTCGACATGTGTAAAAGGCCATAATCAGTTACAAGATGTGGTGGGCTAATTTTGTGCAATTCTGAGACTTTCAGTCAATCAATCCTTGGGATCGAAATGAAATACACAGATGTAGTGATGTCAGATGTCCGTATCAGATGACCCTGAGCCCCCTAACTTTGTCTAGCCAGTCTAAGGCTTTCTGTCAAAACTAGCTCAGCAAGGATTTAGCCTGACAGCTGCATGTATTATTTCTTTAGACCCTCCGCTAACTAAACTTGTAAATGTACCTCAAGCACATGGACAAACCCAACACTGTTTCCACTAAGCTTTGTCAATTACAGATAATCGCCGATATTGATATATCGGCGGCTGGATATCAATAATACCGATATATCGAATTTTTCAAAGAATATATGTTTTCAAGCTCAAAACCAATGGCATAATGCCGAACACCTTTTGTGGTTAGGCGGCTTTGGCTCCTACCAAATGGTCCTAACCGTGCAGCATGCGATTAGTCTGCTGGAATTCGCGAGCTTTTTTAAATCTTCCCCAAACAAAAGAGCACCTGACAACACCACCACCATGTGGTCAGAACGGTATATTCAAATGTGAAGGCATGCATACTCTGGCCAGTCTGTGATCTGAGCGGCCGGCTTCATGCATTGACAACGTGATTTTACTTGCCCAAACCCTCGTTTAGTTGCTCACTGCTTCCCAAGACAGTAAGTTCCTCCTTCAACTAATCACCATTGAGGAAATTGCAACGCCACTATACGACATGAATATACATTACCCCAATGTCCACAGGACTCTGATGCATCATTCATACAAGGTCGGGCAACGGCTATTTCTTAACCACTCGATGATCTTGCCTGGTGTCATACACACACAAGTACCAGGCAAAATTCACTAACGCTGAAGTCACAGCCACAACAGTCTTTGAACTTCATGGCTTCCGGCTGTCAAAGCTCTGCTGTGCCACGCATGCAATAAGCAATAAGGTTTTGTACCCAGTCACAAGGGCATTTTACAGTTTATATGTGTATGCATTTTCCCTTGTGTGGAACGGTGCCCTGCTGAATGTACAACGTGCTTCATACACTCGAGTATACACATGTACATAATGATGCATCATTGTACACCACACATCTGTTTACTTTTACCACATTTTATAAGCTTTTGTGATGAGGAAAAAAACCAAATCAAAGGTAAATTCGGTGCCTGCTATTCTTGGCCACGAAAAACAGACACTTTTATTTCAAGACAAGATATTGTCTATAACAACAACTAGACGTACTAATTTACTATTATAGCTCCATTTTTTTATTATATCAATGCTTTCAATGCATCGATTTCAATGTTTAAGTGATATCATTTATATTGATATCAAAGTGAAATCAATATATCCGATATTATCGATATATTGACAGACCTTAGTTTCAACTACAGAGGGGGACCCATACACAGAATGAAAGGAAATGTCTTACCATTCAGCATATTGATGTCATTCTGCTCCAAGTCTGCTTCCCAAGGTTGTGATTCTGCTTCTTGTGCATTGCCCAGTGGCTACACAAATGACATATTGCATTAATCAAACTGGTGACCGGACTAAATGAGTAAATATTTATTTTAAAAAAAGGGGTCCTCACCAATATATGTCTTTAACCACTTGCTGCTGGGTGGTTTGAAAAATGCAGTGCACATAATTTGGACTTTTTCAAGATTTTCAGTTTTCCAAATTCTTCAAAAATTCATCATTTCAATTAATGAACGTTTACACCCACACGAATTACTGTCTGGTGGCCACTCTAGTCTGACAAACAAAATCTGACACCAGAGTATTTCAGCCAGGCCTGTAGTCTTGTAAAAAGAGCCCATATTGTGTGGTGTTACGTAAAGTTCTTTTGTAAACGAACCTGGCACAGTGCACTGCTGACCTCTTTTCATTAGGGGCCAGATTAGCGTGCAGCGGTGCTGTGTGGCTCATCGCTGTTGTAGTGGAGCGCTTTTATGCCCGGTGGTAATCCGCTCGCACTAAATGCAACAAACCGTGGTATACTGCTTCAAAACAAGGCAGGCTTATCTCCACTATTGAGAGTGAAAAAATGTTGGTAATGCCCAGCAGCCTGGTCTTTTTTCTGAGTACAGTCTATTGTTACAAGGCCCAGTTCCCTTTGTCTGATTTTGAAGACTCCGGCCACGCGTATAAACACACGGTGCCCAAACCTGGAGTCCCCCGCGGCAAGTGGTTAATGGCAATGGGGTATATAAAAAATTACATACATTTATTACATCAGGAAGTTTGCTGGCACATCAGTATGCGGCTTATCAAAAGCAAACATGCTGAATGCAAAACACTTTGCAAAACATGTTATCTTGCAAGATACATGTACAATGCCAAACAGTAGAATAAGAAATAAATGAATGACTGCACTTACGCTTTTCATAGGAGCAAAATCTGATACACCAGGAACTGCAAAGACACACAGAAAGGGCTTTGAGTAACATCAACATATAAGGGACAAGAAAAGAAAAAACTACTTGCAGAAAAAAAATGTAAACACTAACTGGACAAAGCTTACAGACTAATATGGGTGATTCACAATAATGCAACTCCAAGAGTTTGCAACCGCTTGGCCAATCACAGTGCATGAAATCTATTGACCCTTTCCAAACTTGCATCGGGTAAACAGATTTCAGGCACTGTGACTGGCCAATGCATGGCAAACTCTTGGAGGTGCACTACTTTGAAATGCCGCATTGTGTTCTATCATTGTTACTGGTACATACGTGTTCATGAAGAGTGAATAAAGTATTTTGGCCCTTGGGGGAAAAATTCCCTGGTATTATACTAATGAGTGTAAAATTATCATTTTTATTTAATTAAAATTGAACAAAGCAAAGCCCCATACTACTATTTGCAAAAAAAACACACCATAATTTTTTCAGTGCTAAGTCAGTTCTATGGGTATATTTATTTAGATGATTTTTCGGGCAAGAAACATGGACAAATGACATTACATTTACAAAAAGTACAAATTGTAAGATAAAACCAACAAATGGAGATTACACACGGAAAATCATATATATACAGCAAAACCTAGAAACTTGAACAAAACCTGTTGAATAAAACAAAACACAAACCTAAATTGACAACACTGTGCCATATGCAGGTCTGCAGGATCGCCTAAAAAGCCAAATTAAGGCTTTTTCTGCTGACTGCTGATGCAGTCGGCTCTCCGACTGCATCAGCACAATTTTGCAAAACTAAACAAAATCAAAAAGACATTACAAGACAACATCAAAAACATCCTATTATTAAAATAAACTACATGTATAAAACCCAGTGAAAATGGTGGCAAGTGCCTGTCCACAAATAGACCACACAAACAGTACAAAAAGGAAGGTATTTGAGTTCTTCAAAAATGTGATGTAACTGCATCAATTCACTCCCCAGCCAAGACATGGAAAATCCCCATTCCAGCTACATGGCAAACTTTTCCATGTACATGTAACATGCCTCGTGCACTGCCAATTTTCTGTTTTTGACCCAAAATCCCCATCCTGGATCTTGGAAAATAAATGACCAAAGTCTGAAATTAATCTTGTGGCCATATTGGGGGGAGATGTCCCTGTATTATACACCCAAGTTTCTGGATCAAGTACATGTACATACACTGTTTATGATGTTTCCTGAAACAAACAAATACATAAGGCCAAATACAAAAAATGGTCCAAGCCCGCCCCGAGGAAATACACCCGCCCCCAATTTGTTTTTATGCTTTATCCATTGAAAAAGAAAACGGAAAAAACAGCCTTTTGGATGATCCCTTACGCATATTTTATAGCAACCATCTGTTACGCGCTTTGGAAACGATACTTCTGAAATCGCCGATTACTCCTGAACATCTACATGTATGAGTACGAGTGCAGATTCACCCAACCTCGACTTCATGGTGCAGCAAGATCGAATCCATCGGAACGAGGTTGAGATCCACCAAACCATTAGAGTTTTGGGTAAGCCGCATCCAAATTACTAGCGGCGGCGGCAGCCACGTGCATAAACCTAGCAATAGCAACTACAATACCCTTGAACTATGCGGTCACAGCCACAGTGTGTAATCCGGATGCTGCCTGGACCTCTGCTGCATGCTGGGTTAATACTCAATAGCGGCAGCTATTTCCAGATACTGATCCCACTTCACAGAGCTACAGCACCATGACCCTCTCTGAGAAAACCTTCCTATTTTCGCCTGGCGGTACAACCCCTTCTCCTTTTGTGATGAATGACTTGCCTGAGTAAACCCTTTCGTAAAGAATATCAATAAAACTCATTTCACTGAGGAAACTGCTATTTCTTTTTCATTTTCCAATCCAGCAAAGATGTATGTTGAACTGAACCTAAAAAAAGGGACAAACACCAATTACTATTGTTTTTATCTATAGCCTAAACTTGACATTTTCATTGATTTCAAGTAAATAACCACTATCCATAACTTACTCTGCTCTGGCCATAGTTCTGGTGAAGCTCTATCCAACCTCTCAAAGCTCAGAAGCGTTTGTTCAATATCTGTAACACAACCAACAATATGACTGATACTAGTGATTAGTAAAGTAGATTAGTAGTGTACTTGTACTTTCTTGAACATGTGATCTGATCACAGGGAATCGAAGACTTGTCACAAATGATATTCTATCAATACAGCAAGCATTTCGGTACGTGATACCTCATACAGGAGAGAGTTCCACATCTGAACGTCACCTTAGACCTCATGCACAAACATGACAAAGCCCACATGTACATGGACATTGACAGAAAAGGGCCATGTACACTCTTAAATGTGATTTTTTTCCCTTGTAAACTTGTGTTCCTTCCCAGATGTACATGTACGCAGGTATTTGCTCTTAAGACAAAATCATGTAAATTATTTGGACGAAAACCAACAAAAACTTGAAATGAACTGTGGATTTGAACTGTTTCTGACTCAACAGCTGTGCCGCACAATCACTTAGTAAAGCCACATGAAAAAAATAGTTAGTTTGGTATCAGCCCCGCCTCAAAAAATCTTGCCACTTTTTTTTCCTTTAAAAGTTGTCTAATCCGATGTCCTTAGCCATCCCTCGTAGTTTCTAAAATGCCCAACCTCATGCATGCACAATATGCGACCTCAGTACATACACACAATGTCATGTGCACGAGTCTGAAGTGAACGTTGCGCTTTCGTTCCGTGGTTGCAGCAGTCCAGATCAGCATGCATACCAGAGTATTTAAAAAAAAAACTCCTCCCTCCTCATTTTTTGCAAATACAACTGATGCTAAACTATTTTTTTAAGTGGCCAAATGGCAGGTAAATTTAATACTCCCATGAAGGAGCTACATGTATTTGCTTTGTGGGCCTAGGCCTACCCATAATGCACACCTCAGGCTGTAGCACAGGAGCCTACTTAGTACTTACCCCCACCCCACAGAGGGGTACTTTACTTTGAACAAATTTGTTCTTAAATAAACTAACCTTTTCATGGCTTCATTTTTACAGGTTGAAAGTCTGACCAATATCCCAGATGGAACAGTATTTTAAATAACATTAGATGCCAAGGTAGTGGCAGGAATGAGTCAGATCAGTTGCAGTAAAATTTATGTAACCATAATTTGCACACATACTGTGAATGTTATAACTTCACAGATCTCAGTTATGCCTCTTGAACTGGGAACAAATTTGAGTGTTTATTACTTAGGGTTTGGAGACGCAGTATAAGAAAATTCCTTTTGTCACATCTTGATTTTCTCCCGTTTCTCCCGTCCCCCCCCTCTCTCTTTTAATTTTTTTCACTTTAATTTGAAGTATCAATTTGAAGAATAAATTCCCCACAAGTAGCAACAGGCCTGAATATAAGAGCAACTGACTTAGGCCTACATGTAAACTTGTATTCCTGACAAACTATTTGTTAGCAGCAGCATGCTGGAGGGTTACAAGGCTGTTGTGTGTTATTCTTGCCATCTTGGCATAAATAATGAGGATTGATTTGTGCGACCAAGGTGTGAAACCCCCCCCCCACATGCTGCAGGCAACTGCCATTTCAACCAGTCAGGTAATACCCCAAGAACTGTGCGATCCAACATCGGACCATACACTAACCATAACCATATCTACATGCTCAACATATTGACAAAAATATAATACATAATCAGTGCTCTGAGTTATGTAATTGCAGAGAGCTTTGGCCGGGTAGGCCTACCTTCAATAAATCAGGGCAAGCATCAGTTCTCAGATTCTGAACTGAACTGAATTTGCTTGCCCTGACGAAGGTACCCAGTTACCGAAAGCTTGGCAATTACATAATTAAGAGCACTGATTACATATTGTATTTTTGTCAATATTCTGATCACAGTGCTACGCAGCCCGCGCCCTTTCATTTACATGCTCAACATGTTGATGAGCAGGATGTCACGGTCGTACTAATAAACGTCAACACAACGTCAACATGCGTCAACACATGATAGTAACGTCAACACACCAACACACCCAAATCACGTTCTAAGTTAACAGAAATGCAATTCAATGGCAATATAATGCCTAAAATACAACACACGGTGGCCATGTTGGCTCGATCAGATGGATCACACCATTACGCTACAGGGGGTCACCTCTATACAGTAAACCATGGTACGGTCCAAACGCTGTGAGAAGGCAAGATGGCGGCGAACAGCAGCTCTGCTCAAAGACAATTTTTTTCGCGTGAAAAAACTCCCTTGAAATGTAGTAAAATGTAAACTCGATTAAATAGAAATCATTTCTAAGTGTATACATTACAGTTCGGTACGTCTGTTTTCAATGCATTTTGTAAGTGTTGGCGATGTGTTGACGTTACTATCAATGTGTTGACGCGTGTTGATGGTGTGTTGACGCTGATTAGTACGACCCGGATGTCATACTCAACACGTCACAGTAAAATCTAAAACACAAAAGTTAAAATGAATGTCTCCCTTCTGTTATAGGAACAGGGTCCCAAAATTCACAATCCCCTAAATTTAAGTGGTTGTGCGTAATTGCAGGAGGAAAAATGACAACTGCACCTAGATGTGATTAAAAAATTAGCGAAATCAAATTTACCCGCATTACTCGGCACGCTCGGCGCAGCTGCCATTTTTGTCTATAATCAGGTGAGTAGTCTGGCTCCAAGATTACAATGTCCAAACCGCGTACCGAGATATATGTCCAACCTTAACGCGGCGGTCAAACTTCGGTGCAGCTAACAGCCACGTTATGCAACTACTACTACCGCCAGTACTACCTACGGTGGCCCACAACTGTCACGGCAAAAGCAAAAGCGCCACGGCAAAAGCAAAGCGTCACGGCAACTGAAAGGCAAGCGCCACGGCATACCATACCGAACAAATGACTAGGAATCAGTCTAGTACTGTACATGTACATACTTGTATAGGCCTAGTACTGTATGTAATGAAGCGCGAGTGTGCTGCGTTACCGGTACATGATGTAGTTAATTTATGCGCGTGTGCACAGTACTGTACATGCTCACTCGACCTAACATTTAAAACCCTCGCGGGCAAGACCATACATTGCAAAGCACGGACTCATAAAAATGTATCTCTCATTACTGTGCACTAATCCATTCATGGTAGGGGTAAATGACTTCATTACACCTTTTATCATTTTCTGTATCTTCCTGAATGGTTGTTGAATGTAAGCCATCTGTAGTCATTTTTTAAAATGTTTTTAATAATTTGTAATAATTAATAACTATGATAAGAAAGAGGCAAAAAACGACACCACACAATTTCCTTCTGACTTGAGCTCAATTCTTTTGTACTATTTAGCAGTAACGTACATTTACATGAAATATCACACATTTGCCTTCATGAAAAATCACACATTGATCCCTTTACGTACGCATTTCTGTTTGTTGGGGGGTGCACTGACGCACACGTGTATATGTGCACATGCATGAAAAATATCACATCACCCAGCGGTTGGTTGGGTGGTGTTGTACAATATCCCTTAATTGTTAGTTGATGTTTATTACCTTGAAACAGTCTGTGTACATGTATTGAACTCGGCTCTCCGTGCGTGGTTTGCACCCTCTCCCAGCTCCAATGATACTGAAAGAGTTCTAGTTTGAATAAAACAAATCATATGTAGCCTAGATATCAAGCACAACAAACGAAGACGGCGAATAGCTAACCTTGTCCACAGTTGGAGCAGAAATTCAAAGTGCCCGCATTTCTGCCGTGTCCGTAGTTGCTGCAAAGCATGATTTACTATTATGCATGGTGTTCATGCAATAATAATAAACTTCACCGGTGTGCTGACCATTACACTTAATAGTATCCCATGGTTCGCAGCATCACACATTTGCACGAGCATGCCGCACAGCTAGAATCATCAGCTCCGAGTGTATGGAAACGACGGTCCGTGTACGCGTGTGCCATGGCCCTTTTGCTTTTGCCATGACAGTTGTGGGCCACCGTAATACGAGCCTCCATTACGAAAGTTTATGGGGTTGCTGATGATAATGCTGCGACTAACTGCTAGAGTTCCTGGGGTACGCTTTTGAGCTTGTTTGGCTTTTATAGTAGGCCTAATGTGTCAATATTTATCATGTGCAAAAAATGGGGCCCACTTTGTTTGATTTCGTGTAAAGTTTTGTCTTACAGGGTTCGGCATGTTTTGCGCACCCTCAGAAATGTGGGGACCAATGTCCACCCTGTCCTGCTTGGCCACGCGACACGTAGGTATTAGGGCCTGTATGTCCACCCAGCGCTGCCGGTGTATCAATTCGCTCTTTGCATGCTACTCCCATAGGCATGCAGAGCCTCGAACTGGCAGCTTGTACCGTTGCGTGAGAATAGCTTTGTCCAATTGCATGGTGTCACATAGACCCACAAATAGGGGCTGCAGTGGCTCTCTTTTACAATCTGTCTCTTATCTGTCGTCACCACAGCCCTACTTCAAAGCCTGTCTTAAATACCTGAAATCCAAACTGGAGGATTGTCACAAACTTTGAATCCTAATATCTTCTGAAATGAGAATGACTTGACAATTTTACTTACACTGGCATATTTCTCAGAGTTTGGACTTTCATACGAGCACCCCAAAGCTTTCCAAAATCGTAAATTTTCCGATGTATGGCACCTTGAAAAACCCGGCCTGTAGTATTACATGCTGAACACAGGTAGCCCCATTTTGAAAAAGGAAGGCAGCGCTAGGTACTACGTGGCACCTGCAAAATTTTAGCCTAAGCAATATCGAGTAGGCCTACCCTAAATTTGCCCATACAAATGTTTGTGCATCCAACTTCCTTGTGAAACTCTTCAATGGAATTATGCACTGACTGTAATTCACTGCTGATGATAGATCTTCACTTTAATGTTTTCTTTTTGAAGCTACAGTACAGGTATGTGCGAATTAAAACGAAACCTTTTCCAGGGAGAATTTCTGAAAAATATCAATAGAACAGTTACAAAGCTTTACTTTGCAGGCTAAATACAAAATGTTAAAATTGTCTAGAAAATGGATAAATGTCACTGTTTGTTCACGATTGATGTTACATGTAGATGTCCAAACGGGCACTAATGACGAATTTGATCAACTTTTGCCAAATATTGAGGGTGTTATCAAAACACAGAGCCTGAACTGCGCACCTTATAATTGTTTTGAGATTCCCGTTTGTGATGACGGGCACGGATTCTGTGGCACTGTATTTTGTGACTTTTTCAGAAATACCTGTAGAAACAGAAGCTTTTCATATCCGTATAAATATCTCATATTAACTCTCCTATGCCGAAGTCACTCTTTGGGTCATTTGGTGAACACCTCAAAGAAGCACAGCTGTGTTGTGTTGTGCACTGCACCAACTGTCCCTCACAGGAATATCAGATTGCACTTTAAAGTTTTGTGCTGCCCAACAACTGTGCTTCACTGTTTCATGTGCATAATTGTGCAGTAAACCAAATGCAGTGAAGAGAACTGCACAAAAGACCCTGGGTCATTTTGTGCTGGCAATCTACTGTGTACACACTGAACCTGTGCATGTTTGAGTTCCACATAGAAAATTCATGCTCACCAGTGACTGTGGGCATTTGTGCACATTTGTGCTGTAAAACCAAAGGAGGGTTAATGCTAATTATGATTTTATTGGATAGAATTAAAAATTCATGCCTCACTGTACGTGTACATGTAACTTCAAATTAAATTGAAAAAAATTAACAAGAATGAAAAAGAGGAAGCGATGGGACATTAAGCTATTGCAAATAAAAGTTTTTTCCTCAAACTGTATCACTAAACCAAAGTAATTAATGCAAAAAAAATTCCTTGTTCAAGAGATAGTAACTGGCAGATTTTTCAGAAGTTTGGCATTACTGATACCCTGTAAACCGGTTGGTCAGCGAGACTTAACTCTTGCAAACGGGGGAGTATACTCCTGGACCCGAGTGTAATGTGCACACATGCTACTCGTGTTGACAGGAGTAACCGTGCAAATGCACTCATTGATTGTGTATAGCTGCCAGATCGAGGCTCTGCATGCCTATGCAAATTTAGTTTGTGAATCTGGCATTAAAAACTTTTGCATGCAATGACCATCAGGATGGCCTTTAGTTCAGTGCTAGCTTCACCAGTATGGATTTCCCATTCTTGTAAAAAACCTGTTGCAAGAATATGATTTTTGACGAGCTGCGAAGCAAGTGCAAGCCTATATAATACCGATTTCCGTCATCTGTCCGTCCGTCCGTCTGTCTGTCGGTGCGGTCCAGTCATCCGCCCTCAAATGTTTAAGTTTTTCCTTGTGGGTCCATAGGTGTTAAGATGTGCCATTGACTGCTTGTTTGCTTCTTCTTAGAATTCCATCAGTATTTGAATAGTCTCATATGGCATTAATGCTTAGAAACTTACGAATTTAATGAAAAAATCATAAAAGTTGAAGATTAACCCTAACCCTCCTCAATCCTTCACCTGTTGGAGGATTGAGGAGTGTTAGGGTTAAAGTTTTGAGTTGTATTGTGTACTTGCCCTGTAATACATACTTGTAAAGTACATATGTACTGAGCACTCCTGAGACAAAGAAAGCTGTCAAACAGATGTCAATTGGAAAAGCTCCTGGAGTAGATGGTGTCCCTGCTGAAGTGTTCAAAGCGGGTAATCGGGAAATAATCAAACACGTGTCTAGTCTGTTTTGGGCTATGTGGGAATGGGGAAAGCTGCCTCAAGAGTTCAGAGATGCCACTATAGTTCACCTGTATAAGCGGAAAGGAGCCCGCTCAGTGTGCAACAACCATCGGGGCATTTTCTACTCTCTATTGCTGGTAAAATCCTGTCCCACATCGTCTTGAACGGACTTATTCTGCATATCTCAAAATCGTTTGTTCCTGAAAACCAATGTGGATTCAGAAAGGGACAAGAAACTGATATGATTTTCACTATCCGCCAGTTGTAAGAGAAATGCCTTGAACAACATACAGGGCTGTATATTGCCTTCATTGACCTTACCAAGGCTTTCGACACAGTAAGCAGGGAGGGCCTATGGATAATACTATCTAGACTATGCTGCCCACAAACATTCCTGGAGATGCCCCAACAGTTCCACACTGGTATGATAGCCAGGGTAGCTGAGAACAGCTCGATGGCAGACTTTTTTCCTGTGTCTATTGGTGTCAAGCAGGGTTGTGTACTTGCACCAACCCTGTTTAGAATCCTGTTCGCTGCAGTGTTGTACGAGGCTTCAACTGGTCTGGATAGAGGAGTCCATTTACAATATTGGACAGATGGGAAGTTATTTAATCTCAGAAGATTCAAAGCCCAAACTAAACTGTTCAACGTACTGGTCCTTGAGTTGCTGTACATGCAGATTACTGTGCCCTTGTACATGTAGCACATACTGAAGAGGACCTTCAGGTAATCATGGACAGATTTGCAACAGCTTGCTCCAGTTATGGGCTTACCATCAGCCTTAAAAAGACCGAGGTGATGTTTCAACCACCTCCTGGCTATAACTATATCCCACCATCCATCACCCTTAGCGGCACAAAGCTCAGTGCAGTGGAACAGTTCACTTGTCTGGGTAGCATCCTATCCTGATCAGCAAATATTGATGCTGAAGTGTCCCGCCGCATCTCTAAAGCAAGTGGTGCATTTGGTGGCGTTCTACAGAAACTGTGGAACAAAAGGGGTATAAAACTGGAAACAAAGCTCAGTGCCTATAGAGCTACTGTTTTGACCTTACGATATGCATGTGAAATATGGACAACATATGCACGTCATATTAAGCAGCTTGACCGTTTCCTCCAGTGATGCATTCATGAAATCATGAGGATCAAAAAGTATGACATGATTCCTGACACCGACTTGTTGAAGCGAGCCAATATGTCTGGCATTGAGGCCATGGTTGGAAAATCTAGACTCCGTTGGGCTGGTCACGTAGTGAGGATGGATGACAAAAGGCAGTCATGTACTCACAACTGAAACTTGGCCGACGTAGAGTAGGAGGTCAACGTAAGAGGTACAAGGACACCCTCAAGGACTGTATGAGGAAATGTGGTATCCACTGATCGCTGGGAGACCCCAGCTCAAGACCACCCACTTTGGAGGAGGCGCTGTCATGAGGGCATTGCTCACTTTGAGGATACATGTATCCTTCAGGCTATGGAAAAATGCCATTTAAGGACGTCCGGCTGGATCAGCCTACTACTGCTACGGCTTTCCTTTGCCCTGAATGTGGGAGATCCTGCAAATGTAAGAGTGGCTTACTGAGTCATCTAAGGCCCATAGCAGAAGAGCTAACCCAACCCAGTAAACTGTGAACTATTGAGTGTAATGAAATGACGTTCATCGTGGACCACGACGGACAGCCATCATCACTAAGCACTCCTGTAATGTACATGTATGTACATGTATGTATAGACGGTGTTCAGACACATAAATGGAAGGGATGGGGAGACTCCAAAAGACAGATTAGTATGTTTGTTGGAGGGGAGGGGTATCTGTAGGAGGAGGATCATGGGGACAAAGTACACATATGTAGAAAGTGGATGAAATGCTGGATAAGGCTGGTGTATTGGTTGGGCTAGATTAGTGGGATGATGGGACAGTCAGAGTAAGAAGTGAAAGGAATGATGGGCATGGGCGGAGTAGGAGATGGATAGGATGATGGGGAGGGGTGGAGTATGAGATGGATAGGATGATGGGGAGGGGTTTAGAGTAAGAGATGGATAGGATGATGGGGAGGGGGCGTAGTAGGAAATGGATNGGGTGGAGTAGGATGATGGGGAGGGGGTAGCGTAGGAAATGTATGGGATGATGGGGAGGGAGCGAGTAGGAAATGGATTGGATGATGGGGAAGGGGAGGGATTAGAAAATGGATAGGATGATGGGGTTGGATACAAAGTGCAGAACTGTACATGTACCCAGTACTTAAGAGAAATTTCAATTATGCACCATCCGTCAAACTCACAAATTCACTGCTCATATAATCATCCAGGTCTAGTCCGACTGTACTAGCTGGACCCACTTTCTATAGGCATTCCTCTCTCCTGTAAAGAACTGTGAAGCCTTTGTACCTGTATCTCCCTTGGTGGTGGTCTTTGTTGATTTACTATTAAATGACAGGCGCCCTTCAACACACAGTCTGCACACAGCACTGACTAGGTTTTTTTTTCTCCTAGAGTACAATGAATTGTATTGCTAAGGTAAAATAGCTTGTACATCTGCATTGCAGTCGTATGTCAACCAATCTTGTAAAAAATTTTGAGATTTGTTAGTATTTAATTGTTTGGTTTAGTTACATAACATAACAAATCAACAACAACATTTATTTCAATGTAATACAATTAAATTATGATGAACAAATAATATTGACACTCAGTGAATACAAAAACAGAGGGCAACATTGAGGTACACAGGTGAAGCTAAAAGCTTTTGTACCCCGCCCTCGCACTGACAAGGACAAGGACTATACAAAATATTAGATATACAGGAATGAGACAAGACTTGGCCATGGCTGAATCCATCTGTCTGATGAGTACATTGTACAATAATTAGGTGACATCACAAATTTTCCAAATATGTATTAAGTAATGTCATTTTCAGTTTCTTGGCAAATGCAGGCAGAATTGGCAATGATTTTAGTGCGTCATTTAGTTTGTTCCGACTTGAAAGGCCACGATTCACTAGACTATTTTTATTTAAGGCTGTTCTACTGAATTGAACGTAGAGATGCTTTCTGGATGCACTTCAAGTATTACAGAAATGAACATTTGATGCTAATGTGAAACATGCATTAAAACAAGATGGTAATGCATTATTTGTATATTTATACATAAATTTACATAAACAAAATTCGTACAAATCATTAAAACGTAGAATTTTAAGTTTGGCAATCAATGGAGCAGTATGATCAGCATAACCAGTCTTATCAATGACACGTACAGCTCTTTTTTGCAACTTCAGGATTTGTTTACCAATAGATGTAACCCTATCCCATGTAATAATGGAATAGTTCACATACGGAAGAACAAAGGAATTATATAGGGCAAGCAAAATACTGCTTGGTAAATCAAACTAAGTAATTCATTGTGCCAATATTTTTTTAAACTTTACTTGCTACATCATTACAGTGGTCCTTCCAAGTTAAATGCTCGTCAATAATAATACCTAAAAATTGAGTACATTTTGATTGTTCGAGGTTTGTACGATTTACATGTACAGCAATTAGAATAGTATGTTTTCCACAGAATATCATGTAATTTGATTTTAGTAAATTAATTCATAGCTTGTTGGCTAAAAGCCACTTACCGGTATTTATATCGATAAGCTCTCCATTGATATTTTGAATGGCTGTATCAACATTAGTGTGACTATATAACAAGCTGGTGTCATCTGCATAAAGGCAAAAAGATATAATATCTGATGTATTGCAGATGTCATTGATATAAAGCAAAAACAACAAGGGACCCAATACTGAGCCTTGTGGGACTCCACTTTAGAAAAGGTGGACAGAACTGAGATAGGTCTAAAATTTTGAAGATTGTGTTTACTGCCTTTTTATGTATTGGTGTAACTTTACCCTCTTTCAGACCGTCAGGAAAGATTCCTGATGTTTGTGACTTGTTGAAAATTGTGGCTAACATAGGCGCCAGGGAATACCGTGCCTATTTGAGAACAAGTGCGTTAAGGCCATCATAGTCTGCTGCCTTTCTACAAGGAATTGTTTTTAAAAAGAGTGAATGCGGGCACCTGTCATTAAGAAAGAAATGGAATGAGGTGTTACACTGCGTAAGATCGTTGGCAATTCTACAACCAACATGGATTAAAAGTAGTCACTAAATGCATTAGCGATTTGTTTGTCACCATTAATTCTCCTTTCATTCTGGACAAAATAGGTGGGGTTTGGCTTTTTTACTTTCCTGTTTAACAACAAGTTTATAAGCTTCCAAGTACTTTTTAAATTTCCTTTTTCTTGCCAAGAAAAATTTTCCTTTTCCGTTTGTATTAAGCAGTTCAATTTGTTTTTACAAACAGTATAAACATGCTTGTTATCTGGAGTGGGCTTTCTCAGGAATTTTTTGTGAAGGAATTTTTCCTCCTTATTTACCTTTAAATACCATTAGTTAGCCACGGTGACTTGTTTTTGTTATAACGACATTTAATTGCTATTAAGGGAAAGTTTTTGTTGTAGAGTTCTAATAAACGTCCTAAGAAGATGTCATATGTGTTATGAGTATCATTCACAGACGTTAAACAACTCCAGTCGATCTCGTTCAAATTACTGATGAAATTTGCAACATTGTTACTATTAAAAACCCTCTTTTTATACCATTGGTCATTTAATTTGTTTCTGTTGGGAGAATTCATTATTAGAAACACAGGTAAATGGTCACTTATGTCGGCTAGTAAAACACCAGACGCATGATTTACAAAATCAAAATTTACAAAGAAATTTCCCTCTTTTTTTACCATTGTATGAGTATTATTAAGTTCTATAAAACATGATTCAATATCGTCATTATTCACATCTACATGTATGTCACTCTGCATCTTATACTCATAACCCTGTTTAACGAAGTGCTACACCACCACCCCTTCTATTTTTTCTACAAACACCTTCAAACAAACACCTGTGAAGTTTGGAATTTGATTAAGTAATATCCTTAAACCATGTTTCGGACATTCCAATTATTGAAAATCTATCCTCTAGAAGATTAACATAGTGAGTAATGTTAAAAATGTTTGGGGGTAAACTTCTATCATTAATATGCAACAATTTCATATCATTATTTAGGCTGAAATCCTGTAGAAAGTCATCTTGGTCATAATAAGAACAATGGATATCCAAACATTCAACGTTTACATGTAGGTCAGGATCTATGTCAGTATTCACAATCGTAGTATGATCCGTAAGGTTCGTAAAGTAAAGGGATTAAATACAATTATTGTACTTTACTCACGTGACATGAAACGATAAACCAAATTTTCATGGCCTGAAAAAGGCTACTGCGTATTTGTTTACGTAAGAATAACAAAAGATTCCATCATACATTTTCTTTCCATCACTAAAGCTTGCCGGCTTTCAGTGTACGGCCATGAACAATAAGCAAAACTAAGTTGAGGAAAGAAACATACAGTATGTGAGGAGTGGGGCAGATGTCAGTTCCCACAGTTCTGGGGGGTAGGTTTGGCGCGGTACGATGTGTTTTTCGATAATTTTCTGGTAGCTTTTTAGTGTTATCCTGCATTTTGCGGTTCTTTCCGGTGTCCTTCAATAGTTTTTTGGTGTTTTCTGGTGTTTCTTAGTGGTTTCTGGAGTTTTCTATTGTTTTCTGCTATGTACCTGTAGTTTTACGATATTTTTGGTAATTTTCCTGTGTTTTTCAGTAGTTCTCTGCTGTTTTCAGTAGTTTTCTGGTGTTTTCCTGTGTTTTGTGGGTAATCATCATGCGATATTGCTGCCTTTTATTATGCCACACGGCCATGTCACGTGTGCATGTAATTGGGGCTGACTAGACCAGGGCTATACATGTACTTGGTTCTTATATTACAGTAACCTATATTGGCATGAAAAAGGCCTATGTGCAGTGGCTGCCCCCTATTCACGGTAACCGTGATGTGAATTTCAAATTCTATAGTTACCATGGTTAGGGTAAGCTAATATATCTGTACAAGTGGGATGACCATAGACAATTCACTGAGCTAACACAAAACTGATTCACATGCTGCCGTAATGCAATTCCTGCCAAAGTCAGTCAGCATTATGGAATTAAAGCTACACAAACATGATGACTTAAACTTGATACATGTGAAAAACTCATTGGGGTTGAGCTGCCATGTCGGTGTTAATGTACATGTACGTATGTGTACGTGTGGTGTGTGGTCAACTGCTTAGCATTGTTCAGCAGGACTTCGGATGTGTTGAAAAGGGTTTTTTCATGTAGGGGAGATTGGAGCTTTAGCCATGAGAATGGAAGTCCAAAATCTCCTTGCCGAAAACTGAGTTCATTATTTGCATACAAAAATTAATTACACAAAAAGGCTGTCCATGATCATATATTTCAAGCTTTAAATGATCAAGCAGCGTAAAAAAAGGCGTAAACTGTGGAGTGTTCACAAGATCGGCAGTTTCCAGACTTGCTTAAAAGGAATTAAAAAGACATGCTTAACATACCATGGAGGGATATGCAACAAGGATCCGATCAACATTGGCCATCCATGACATAATTTGTCATGTGCGTGGCTACCAGACGATTGGCTTTTATGATGTTTTCTGAATAACACAAGTACTATTTGAATGTAATGAGAATTTGACAGTCATGTGCACTTTTGTGCAGTAAAAACAAAGTTGCTGGTGCAGATCAAACATTTTCCTTCCTGTTATCTATTCTTCCATGCGGTTGTGTTTCCATAAATCGAATACATGTACCAGATAATGTTTAATCATTTATGACTGTGTTTGCAAAGGTAATGGACTCTGGCAGGGGAGATACTTAGGGGATTCTTTCGCCGTGCACGCAATAGAAATCCACATCAGGTTACAAGTTTTACTCTTTAGCAATTCACTTCACTTGCAGAAACTTCCTACACTGCATCGGTATCGATAACAAAGTGGTTCTCCCAATGATTGGGACAGTGCCTCAAACTGCAAAATTCAGCACCCACAGCAATCGAGCGTTCTATGTTTAGATTGTGCTTCCGTGCACGCAAGGCCGTCATGTTTGTGTACAGTGGTATGCTGTGTGCTGTGCCGTGTTAATCAAACTGTGCACCACGGTGGCGCATGACAAATGTGCAGGCTGTTTAATCAACTCTGATAATTATAGATTAACCATGTCATTGCACCTGCACAGACATTACTGTAGCTATAGAATTTGAATACTGTACATTACGGTTATCGTTACTATAGCCACTGTGTTCATCAGAAATTTTGTGCTTTGCTTTGCCAGTAAGCTTAACTGATGTAATATTAGTTTTTAACATAAAAGCAGAATGAAAAAGTCACAAATTTTGGTAGACCTATTTTAATAAGGTACATGTATGTTGTACATGCACAGTTATTTTTCTGGTTCTGAATTTTTCCATGATAGTGGTGTTTTCCACTTTCATGTATTTATTGGCCAGTCTAACTCTACTCACGTACATGTAGTTGTTGGCCAGTTTAACTCATGCAGGTGGGTTTCATACTGAACTTGTTAACTTCTTTTGCTTTGTTACAGGTCCTGGGTGCCCTTAGAGCATACTCCACTCATGTAGCAGTAAGTTTTGTGGTTCATCCCGATCGTTGTTTCCCTGATCAGATTCAATTTAAAGAATTTAAGATAATGAAAAGCTGAAACCAATTGTTGTGCCAGTTGTTGAAAATGTGAAGTAGTACCTTTGTTCTTATCGAATTTATCTGTATTGAAAAATAGGATGATTCACAAGACAGTGTGTCACCAAGAGTTTGCAACTGAGAGACCATTAATCAAGATTATGATCAACATAACTATGGCTGCCTTGCTTTGATTTGCATTTTTCCATACAAGTGTGTCAATTGACAACTTGGGAAAATGTTGATAAAAGATGATATTCCATGCAGTGGAAAGAAGAAAGAATTAATTAACCGTAACCCACCTCAATCCAAAATCCTCCAAAACCACCTGGAGGGTTTTGGAGGATTTGGGATGAATGATGATTTGAACATTCAAGGATTTTGGAGGACTGAGGATGAATAGTGTTTTAACCACTTGCTGCCGGGTGGAATTTTCTTGAGCAAGACAAGATGCCGGGTCCTTTTCAAGATTTTCCGTTTTCAAAATTCTTCAAAAATTCATCATTTCATTTAATGGCCGTTTATACCTACATGAAGGACTCTTTGGGCACTGCTCTAAAGCTGACAGTTAACCTTCATTGACTTTTGAATATTGCTGCCAGGCATGCAGCCTTGGAAAAAGAGCCCAGATTGTGCGGTGTTACGTAAGATTCTTTTGTGTCCGAAACCAGCACAGTGCACTGCTGACCTCTTTTCAATAGGGGCAAGATTAGCATGCAGCGGTGCTTTGTGGCTCATCCCTGCGGTGGTGGAGAGCTTTTGTCCCTGGTGGTAATCCGCTCGCTCTAAATGCCTCAAACCGTGGTATACTGTTTCAAAACAAGGCTTGATTATCTCCACTATTGAGAGCGAAAAAATTTCGGTAATGCCCAGCAGCTCAGTCTTTGGTGCTGAGCATGGTCTTTTGTTATAAGGCCCAACTCGTTTGTCCCATTTCCGGGCTCCCCGGCCCTGCATATAAAGCCTATGTACTTGAAAACGGGTCGCCCGGCAGGAAGTGGTTAATAAAATATCCAACTTTTGATCACAGGATGACAAATCTCTTTAAGCATCAACCCAATTAAAGTCAATCAACCAGCGTCCCAATGGCCTTACAGAGGAATCCCTGTAGAGTTTAATTGTTACATGTGTTTAATTGTTACAATTGTTACAGGCTGGAGGTTTTTGGAAGATTGAGGACGAATGCTGATTTAAAAGCTGGAGGATTTTGGAGGATTGA